CCATGCTGTATGCTAAGAGTTCACGCTGCTGGCTGTGAGGTGAGGGTTCCAATTTTACCAACCTCAGTAAAATTATTCGACAGGAAGTGGCCATTTCGTATTTGCGACATGACCAATATTTTCCACCAATGACTTTCTTCACTTATCAGTCCGGCATGCCCTCCGAGCCAGATGCGGCTTTACCGCGTGTAGGATCGTTGTGGGCCTGTGTCCCAGCCTCTATGACATCCCGTAATCGGGGCGACTCTACCAGAGCCTTGCCACTACAATATTGTTACTCTACATATTTAACCACAGACATGACACAAAGCGTTTGTCAGACGGGAACGACATCCATCGATTTCGGAATCGACACCAAAAAGATCTTACAATTGGTCATCCCTAAACGAAGGATGATGACGTATGGTCAAATAACCCTCCCCGACCCCACACGGCATTGGGGGAGCCCATCATCCAGCAGTGGATAGACCATATGATCGTTGGCGTAACTACATTAACAGTTCAGGGTGTGCGGCAGTCGGTCAGGTGGGGCCCAAATATTTGATTTGTCTCGTACGGTCGCACCGAGTTAGGTTATATATCGAGGCTCCTCTCACCTAATCACATCATTACGCCCACGGTCTCGAACATTTAACACTGTAGGGGCGCTCCGTGTTCGCAAAATGCAGCCAATACAGCTCGGTAGTAGTACATCATTGCAATATAATTGACGCGTATCTGATGCAATAAATATCACAGCAAACGGAGTTCTATCGATTTAAAGCTTTCATGACTGCAGGGATTCATCTTCTGGGTTCTTTCGGTAAAGTCACCACGTAGAATGGAAATAAAATAATAATTATAATAAAGAATAATTATAATGATTACTTTAAATAAAGAAAATAATAATTATAATAATTATTTTTTAATTATTTTATTTCCATTCTACGTGACTTTACCGAAATAACCCTGAAGATGAAACGGAGTTCTATGTCCAAAGTTGTTTTACTCAAGATACTGCCATTCAAATCGATTTATATTACGTCACATTACGTTTCTTTACGTAAAAAAAAACTTACTTCCAATACTAAACTGTTGAAAACATATCTCGTGGTGATTGTCCAAGGGGCCCCAACTCATAGCCTTTGGCACCAGGGGCGGGGGTCATGTACCCCTTGCCACCACGCTCGTTACTTCACTGGGCAACAGGGACTCAAAGTCCCAACAAATCTTGGAATTTGGTCATCCCTAAACTAAGCAGGGTGACGACGTACGGTCAAATAACCCTCTTCCCAGACGGTTCGGCTACGTATAGTGCGAAAGAAGTTCAACATATATTACGATCATCCAGCAGTGCATAGACATCGGGGGCCATAAATGACGTCACGCGATTTTGGACGATTTTTGCCCCCCCCCTTTCGTCACACGGCGTCACAAAAATTCAGACCCCCCCCCCTCAAATATGACGTCACGTCACAAAGCTCTGCCCCCACCCCCTCAAAAGCCATATTTCCATTTTGAAAATAAAACATGCTTCAAATCGCTTTAAACTATTGTCTTTGTAGTGCGTATTTAATGTGTGTGCACTCTGATGTTGTAGGAGTGTTGTTATAACAATTAGTGTTATTATAACATTTCTATATTTATATTCTTGGTTCTTTCGGTAAAGTCACGTAGAAGGGAAACAATAAAATAATTAAAATATAAAACAATAAAATTCCCACGACGTTTCGACTGCAAATACAAGCAATCATCATCAGGTGTGAAAACCACAGCAAGAACTTTTAAAAAGTCGCGTTTTTTAACGTTAGCACCACGGAGAGCGATTTGGCAGTTTGTTCAGATGGACGAGTACATCTATGTTCGGAAAAGAGGAGGGGGTGACGAAAATAATAGATGCGGTCTGAAAGCCACCGTAAGCGTGAACAATCAATTAAGACCCGAAATGGTTTATCAAATCCTTCAAATGATTGCTAAGCCAGAATCCATCTTCTCGGTTGAAATTGTCTCTGTGTTTGTATATGTGGATAGCCTCATGAACGAATCTCTCATGGTAGCAAAGATGGCTTGCAAAGAACCTCTGTCTTGGAGAAGTCAATGTCATGTGAGCCTACTGAATTATAACAGTGATCTGCCACGGCCGAGGTGTTGGTCCTACCGTGTTTCAGGTCTACTTTGTGTTCACGAATGCAGTCCGAGACATGTCGTCTGGTTTCTCCAATGTGACTGTGGTGTCACGGCAGCGAAGCCGCTCCACCGAGGCCGGGGCCGCCGCTGTGCTAACGGTGCTGCTGCAGCGGGGAAGTCACCCGGCTCCCGTCACAGCGCTCGCCCCCCCCCCCCCACATAAACACACACGGACTGGCGGGGCAGATGGGGAGCGGGGCGGCGCATGGTTAACGGCCCTACCCATAATGTACCGCGAGTTTAACGGCCCTACTCACAATGCACCGCGAGTTTAACGGCTCTACCCATAATGCACCGCAGTAGTAATATGGAATGGACAGAGCACTTGGTGGGACAATGGGGGCGGGGCGTGAGAGGGGGGGCGGGGCATGAGATAGGGGGGGGCGGGGCGTGAGAGGGGGGGGCAGAGGTGAGCGGGGGCGGCGGGTAAGCGTTCAAACCTAGGAATAAAAAGGGACGGGATTGAGAAGTTGGGGGCCTTTTTGCTCGGGACTTGGAGGAGGGAGGACAGAGGGCGACCATCCTGTTTCTCGACCGTCCGTGTGACGGGTTGTAGAACAGCCGGATTCCAGCCCCAGCCAAAGTTTGGTACAGCCGCGTCTCTCTCCAACCTTTCACACATCTGGGCCGAACCGTGAGTAAGTGTCAAGCGTTTTGCTTCCTCCCACACAGCTTAAAGGATGCGACCTGGGCTCGGCTGTTTCACTCCAACGCTGTCCTCATGACAGCACGGTCCCTTCACCTAGTGGTATCCCAAACTTTCACAGCTGCTTATTTCTCTCCACTCACGCCACTCATTCACTCCACTTACTCCACTTACTCACTCCACTCACTTCCTCCACTCACTCCACTCACTCACTCCACTCACTCCACTCATTCACTCCACTCACTCACTCACTCTACTTACTCACTCTCCCCCCCCCCCCCCCGCTGCTGGTCCGTCATGGTCCCCACCCGCTCCTGGTCCATCATGGCCCATGCACCTCCTACGTACATCGTGCTCATTTTTATGCTAATTCCTTTGTCAAGCGTTTTGCTTCCTCCCACACAGCTTAAAGGACGCGACCTGTGCTTGGCTGTTTTCACTCCAACGCTGTCCTCATGACAACACGAGCCCTTCACCTGATGAAGGCCACTTGTGTTGTGGCCGAAACGTCGTGATTTTTGTTATTTTATTTTTTACCTACGTGACTTTACCGAATAGAACCAAAGAGTAAGTGAGAGAGGTAAGGCAAAAGGGGGGAGTTCTAAGAGAGAGAGTGAATGGAGAGGGGACAGACCACTTGAGGATTAGACCGTAGAGAGATAGATTAGATCTGCCTGCTGGTCCGCACTGACACACGCAGTTTATAGTAATAGGTTTTACCCTTTTAACTGGTACAAAAAACTGACACCTTTATTCAAGGCATCATGTTTGCAATAACCACAACACAAGCAGTCAAAATGCAAACAAAAAAGACAACTCTGATAATAATATGCACTGTCCTTGAATTTGATTGGTCCACACCCGAGACGGCTTTCTTTAGAGCCTATTACTATATCTTGTTACTGGCAAAGGAGGTCTCATAATGTAAATGCTCACCCCGAGCCCTCAATACTCTGATAGTGCGTTGTTTTTGAGTTGTACGCCTTTTGGCGTCTTCTGGTCCAACACCAGTGGAGACTAGGCTCTAAGAAAAGCCGTCTCGGGTGTGGACCAACCAAATTCAAGGACAGTGCATATTATCAGTTGTCTCTTTTGTTTGCATTTTGACTGCTTGTGTTGTGGTTATTGCAAACATGATGCCTTGAATAAAGGTGTCAGTTTTTTGTGCCAGTTAAAAGGGTAAAACCTATTATTATATCTTGTTACTGGCAAAGGAGGTCTCATAATGTAAACACGCAGTTTAGTTTATTCGTAGGTAATAAATCGTCAGTACAGTATAAACCGTGTCGTGTTGTCTCTGTGAGTGCGGAGAGGAGGGCGAGGTGTTGTGAATCGGATCTCGGGGGTGCATTGTATCTACCTCCAGCTGTTCGGTGGAGTGCTCTTTTGTTTGCGCACGGTGAGTAATTTTACCCACGTGTTTGCGCTCGCACGGGCGGGTTCACTCGGGGCTCGACGCGCATGCTTGGGCAGCAGTAACGTGCTATCACCCTGGGAATTAAGGTACGGGTCCTTCGATCATTAAATTCACGAGTGCGTGGTGTGGTGGTACGGGTCCTTCGATCATTAAATTCACGGGTGCGTGGTGTGGTGAGCCTATGCATCGTGTGGTGCCGGTTGTAGTTCGCCCGCGCCCGTACGGGGGCGTCCAGGAGCAGCGGCGCTCACGGCACGCGCCGCGCGTGTAGCGCGTTGAGATAAATTGGTGAGCGGGTATTCCGCAGCCGCAGCCTAATTAGTTGATTCCGAACGGCTGCGACGGTAAACAAAACAAGTTTACGCAATTCAAGCACGCGATGCTGCTGCTGGCGGTGGTTACCTCGTCGTGTGTAGCGCTGCGCCGTGAGATGCACGGGTTTCCCACGTGCATAATCACGCAACGGTTGTTGCGGTTGTGGCAGTGGCAGATGCGGCTATCGTGGTGGCGGGCATTGTGGGTTGGTGGCAAGCACGACTGGTGGTGCTCGTGCCGCGCCGCGGTCGCGCATCTTTACACGGCTGTTTTATAGCGCGAGTCGTAGCGGACGAAGGGAGCGACGCGCGGGCAGCCGCCGCGTTATTTTTTAGCGTGAGCACGTGGTGGCCCATGGGCGCGGGTAGCCGTGCGTGGCCGGGTGTGGGCGGCGGCGGCGTACCCGGGTACGCGTAGGGGAAATGCACGCGGGGAGTGTGTGTGTGTGATTGACCCGAGGTGGTCGAGAGCCAGCCAAGAGACGTGTCTCATAGGAGCCGCGTGGAGGCAGCGAGCTCGGAGCTGCGAACGGCAGCAACGAGGAGGGAAGAAGTGGAGGAGGAAGGGTGAGAGGAGATGAGGGGCAGCAGCCCCCACATAACTACTACCACAGAGGCAACTTGGTTTGTAGACGCCAGGGTACTGTATGTCCGGAATCACATCTTTTACAGACGGAACCAGATCACGGATTTTATGTAATGTGTTGAATCGGACCTGGATCTTGTGTTTATTCAAGATTTTGGAGATCTTTTTTTGTGATCCCCGCAATGTAGGGTAAAGTGTTGGTTTTGAAAGGCTCCTCAAGAGGGTCCTTCTTCATGGTTGGAGTGATAGCTTTGCGAATTGTGTAGTCGGATAACCATTAGCCTTAAGAGCTTGGTGTACGTGCTTGAGTTCACTGGCTATGTGTTCCTGGTCGGATATGCATTGGGCTCTATGGTGCAGAGTCTTGATGAGGGCATTCTGCTGGGATGGATGGTGGTGGGAATCCGGTTTCAGGTAAGCATCCGTATGGGTAGCTTTCCTGTAGACAGAGTGGCTCATTGAACCATCAGGTCTCTTTTTTTATTAGGACATCCAAAAAAGGTAGCTTGCCATCTTTTTCAACTTCCATGGTAAATCTGATGGCTGGGTGTATGGAATTGATGTGGTCGAGCAATTGGTCTAGAGCAGGCCGGCCATGTGGCCAGATGACAAAAGTGTCATCCACGTACCTCTTCCATAAGGTTGGGCGCAGAGTGGCAGTCTGGATGGCGTCAGTCTCAAATTTATCCATGAAAATGTTGGCTACAACCGGAGATAAGGGGGAGCCCATTGGGTTGCCCTCAGTTTGTTTGTAGAAAGTTCCATTCCAAGTGAAGTATGTATTGGTTAAGCAGTGTCTCACCAGGGGGGGGGGGGGGGGGTACCTCAGTGTTTAGTCCTTGAAGAACCAAGTCTTCAATGATTGCGATGGTGTCAGGTACAGAACTTTGGTGAATAAACTACATCAAAACTGACGAGCAGGTCGTCTTTAAATAAATATAGACATCAGAGTGCAGCGCCACATTAAATACGCACTACAATGACAATAGTTTAAAGCGATTTGAAGCATGTTTTATATATTTTTTTTGGGGGGGGGGCAGAGCTTTGTGACGTCATATTTGAGGAGGGGGGTCTGACTTTTTGTGACGCGGTGTGACGATGGGGGGTCAAAAATCGTCAAAAATCGCGTGACGTCATTTATGGACGGCCCCTAAACTAAGCAAGGTGACGACGTGCGGTCAAATGAACCGGTTCGGCTACGTACGGCGCGAACGAAGTTCAACACGCGCGCATCGTCCAGCAGCGGGCAGACCGTGGGACGAACGAATGTCATTTAACTTCCCCTCTGGTCTGACACCCACCCCGCTCGTGGCACGTGGGGCGGGTCACGTGACGATCTAAAGGGCGGGGCGGGGGGGTGGTGGAGAAGGCGGCGATGGTGGTGATGAGGTGAGGATTCTCGCTCCTCTCTCTCTCCTCTTCTCTCTCCCCTCTTCGTCCTCCCTGCGCCTGTCACGCCGAGCCCGAGATAACGAAGTGGCTCGCAGCGAAGGGCCGAGGCAGAGACGAAGGCTCGCGATGAGCGGGGGGTGGCGCAAGCGATTGGATTTTTTGTTGTCGATGTGGGTGGTTGTCAGTGATGATAATAATTAAACCTTAGCAACATATGAACCTTGATGTTATTGTTTTTGCTAGTTGTTACCATTATATCAATATAACCAGGCGGCTACTGTCGGCTCTGCCCTCTCTTTAAACGCGTGTGTTTATAACAGAATCCTGAGAAGCCTAAGCGTGCCTTAGTCTGGCTCTGTGAGCCTCAGTGATTAACACTGAACCCTATGGAATGAGCCTTAGTTTGGCTCTATGAGCCTCAGTGATTCACACTGAACCCTATGGAATGAGCCTTAATCTGGGTCTGTGAGCCTCAGTGATTAACACTGAACCCTGTGGAAGGAGCCTTAGTCTGGCTCTGTGAGCCTCAGTGATTCACACTGAACCCTGTGGAAGGAGCCTTAGTCTGGCTCTGTGAGCCTCAGTGATTCACACTGAACCCTATGGAATGAGCCTTAGTCTGGCTCTGTGAGCCTCAGTGATTCACACTGAACCCTATGGAATGAGCCTTAGTCTGGCTCTGTGAACCTCAGTGATTCACAATGAACCCTATGGAATGAGCCCGAGTCTGGCTCTGTGAGCCTCAGTGATTCACACTGAACCCTATGGAATGAGCCTTAGTCTGGCTGTATGAGCCTCAGTGATTAACACTGAACCCTATGGAAGGAGCCTGAGTCTGGCTCTGTGAGCCTCAGTGATTAACACTGAACCCTATGGAATGAGCCTGAGTCTGGCTCTGTGAGCCTCAGTGATTCACACTGAACCCTATAGAAGGAGCCTTAGTCTGGCTCTGTGAGCCTCAGTGATTCACACTGAACCCTATAGAAGGAGCCTTAGTCTGGCTCTGTGAGCCTCGGTGATTAACACTGAACCCTATGGAATGAGCCTGAGTCTGGCTCTGTGAGCCTCAGTGATTCACACTGAACCATATAGAAGGAGCCTTAGTCTGGCTCTGTGAGCCTCAGTGATTAACACTGAACCCTACGGAATGAGCCGGAGTCTGGCTCTGTGAGCCTCAGTGATTAACACTGAACCCTACGGAATGAGCCTTAGTCTGGCTCTGTGAGCCTCAGTGATTAACACTGAACCCTATGGAAGGAGCCTTAGTCTGGCTCTGAGCCTCAGTGATTAACACTGAACCCTATGGAATGAGCCTCAGTCTGGCTCTGTGAGCCTCAGTGATTCACACTGAACCCTGTGGAAGGAGCCTGATTCTGGCTCTGTGAGCCTCAGTGATTAATACTGAATCCTATCGAATGAGCCCGAGTCTGGCTCTGTGAGCCTCAGTGATTAACACTGAACCCTATGGAAGGAGCCTTAGTCTGGCTCTGAGCCTCAGTGATTAACACTGAACCCTATGGAATGAGCCTCAGTCTGGCTCTGTGAGCCTCAGTGATTCACACTGAACCCTGTGGAAGGAGCCTGAGTCTGGCTCTGTGAGCCTCAGTGATTAATACTGAATCCTATCGAATGAGCCCGAGTCTGGCTCTGTGAGCCTCAGTGATTCACACTGAACCCTATGGAATGAGCCTTATTCTGGCTCTGTGAGCCTCAGTGAGTCACACCGATCCCTATGGAAGGCGCTTGAGTCTGGCTCTATGAGCCTCAGTAACTCACACCGAACCCTATGGCAGGAGCCTAAGTCTGGCTCTATGAGCCTCAGTGATTCACACCGATCCCTATGGAAGGAGCCTTAGTCTAGCTCTATGAGCCTCAGTGATTCACACCGATCCCTATGGCAGGAGCCTGAGTCTGGCTCTGTGAGCCTCAGTGATTCACACCGAACCCTATGGCAGGAGCCTTAGTCTGGCTCTGTGAGCCTCAGTGATTCACACTGAACCCTATGGAATGAGCCTGAGTCTGGCTCTGAGGCTCAGTGATTAACACCGAACCTTATGGGAGGAGCCTGAGTCTGGCTCTATGAGCCTCAGTGATTCACACCGATCCCTATGGAAGGAGCCTTAGTCTGGCTCTATGAGCCTCAGTGATTCACACCGATCCCTATGGAATGAGCCTGAGTCTGGCTCTATGAGCCTCAGTGATTCACACTGAACCCTCATAATGTATCGGGTGTCCGAGTGTGGCTCTATGATTTGACCCTTTACAGTGCTTGGATGGGCGACCACCGTGTAAAAACAGGTATTCAACGCTTACGAAGCAACCTTGTGCAGCAGAGGGCAGCGGAGCAACATCGGTGGTTGTACTGCACTTCTATGCTCCCTGCCTTTGAATCAATCAAATCTGACCGGCGTTGTGAAGCTTGGGTGAAATATTCCCCCCTTCCGACATCAACGGCGTGGAAAGGCCCTCATCCAGCAGTGGATCGACAAAAGCCGTACATGTGGACCTCGTGTCTAAATGCAGCTGCAGATCAAGATGGTGTTTGTTGTGCCGGTTATTGTTTATTTCTTTAATCCACTTTTCGCTTGAACAGGAGACTTGTTTCAGTGGGTTGGCACCTGGTCACAAATAAAGACTACAGTACATACATGCATAGCAAGGACGCAGAATAAGTTGGGCAATGCGTCTCATCACGGTATCTGTACACCGTGGGACAGGGGTTCTCAATCAGGGGTACGCGGACCCCTGATGTCCAAGGGGGTACGTGAGGTGATTTTAAAATGTGCCCTTAGTCTGTCGCACTCATTGTGCTTAATATGCTTACATTATTGATTTTACATTTTCATACATTTATTTCTCAGAGCCATGTTGGGTCAGGCAAGGGGGTACTCGGTTGAAACAACATTCAACAAATTGTGAAACGTTAAATATAGCCTGGTAATTAAGTAGCAGCTGGTGCGGTGAACGCGTTGGTACGAAGCAGGCGACCGTGTCCGCCAAGTCGGCTCATCTCTCCGAATAGATGCCAGAAATTTGCGCCTTACTCCAGCAGGAATTTGCACCTCCTGCGTGGCTGCCTGCAGCAGTGCTGGAGCTAACCAGTGTGAAGGCGGTGCAACTGCGCCAGGGGACATAGGGGGGGTGGGGCTGGTCCAGGTGCCAAGCCACGACAGGGGCGTAGTTGGGGTGGTGGGAGGGGCGGAATTTGACAGGGGATGGGTCCCATTTGTTACACCAGCGCCCATGTCAACCACCCTATACCACTTGGACCCATAAATACAACTATAGACTGGCATGGGAGCTATAGACGAACATAGGGGACCGTGTGGCGTAGATATCGAGGGTGCAGGCGGTGCAACTGCACCGGGGCCCACGGGCAAAGCGAAGGGACTTGGGCGTCAGGCTACGAAGAGGGCGAGGAAATTGAATTCTGCAGGCCCTCTCCCACCCGCGTTAAATTATTTGCACCAGGGTGACCTGCCAACCATGTTATGCCGCCGGGCCTGCAGCGCTCTTCCACAGCAGTCCACTCACTGCTCACAGTGATCTTCACACAAACCTCACTCATCAGTGCAGGATCGTCGCTGAGCTCAGCGTTACGCACGGCCTGTTCAGTGCAGAGGACCACTGGGATCTCCTATGCGGCTGAAGCAGAATTGCATTGCACTGGAAAGTGCAGTATTTACACACGGGGCCACTGTTTTCATCAATTCCAAATGCTGGATGAGGGCCCTCCCCCATGCCGTACAGGTCGCAGATGATGGGTGCTGTTTGACCATACTTCATCACGCTGGATTGTGCGGGTTGGTGATGGCGGAAAGTATAGATGTGGGAGCATATTAAAAGTCAGTATGATGTCTTCAACCTCTGTGTTCTCTAATGCGTGTGTGCCTCTTGCTGTCTCAATGTGTAATCTCAAGCACGCATCTCTCCACGCTCCTTTGGTCACTTTTGAGATTCTATTCCTTTTATTTCATCAGTGTCCATATTTCTCGTGCATACATCATACAAAACCATCCTTACTCAGACATATTGGTATATAAATGTCTGCGTGTGTGTGTGTGTGTGTAGGCTCGTGTGGATATTCCTGTGCCTTCTGCCCTGGGCCTCTGGCCTGGACTTTGACCCGTACGCCGTCCTGGGGGTGGCTCGCTCCGCACCCCAGAGCGACATCAAGAAGGCTTACAAGGCGCTCGCCCGCGAGTGGTACGCACCGGAGCCAGCAGCGGCACCGAGACGGGGCCGATTCGGCAGCACCCTGTGACCGGATACATAGCCAAGCGTAGCACAGCTAGAAGGTTGGATGCGAAGTTACAGTTGAAGAGATAAAGGTGCAGCCCTGCAATTTATTGCTCTCGCCCCACTTTTGGTGGAAGGCCCTCCACTAGAGGGAGCTCTGTCGTGTCCCTCTGCAGGGGATATGATGCCTTCGCGTTCAGCCTACTCGCCACACATGGCCTGCCAATCGACAAACTGTGGGGTGCACCCATTTGTACTGCTGTGGGGACAGAGGTGTGATGGGCATTTGATAATTTTGTGTAATTTTTTCCACTGCCGTGGCGGGCGATTTAATCGAACTGGTGTCCTCTGGATTGCAAGTCCGGCGCGATAACCATCCCTCACAGTACCACAGTGGCGAGACCGCCGTGCCGAGATGTTAACTACCTCGCCTGGTGTACAGGAGGTCTTGGGTTCGATCCCGACCCTGACGCCTGCTGTATATTTGGAGTTTGCGTGTTTCTCTCTCTCCCTGTAGAGATGTTAACTACCTCGCCTGGTGTACAGGAGGTTTTGGGTTCGATCCCATGCCTGCTGTATATTTGGAGTTTGCGTATTTCTCTCTCTCCCTGTAGAGATGTTAACTACCTCGCCTGGTTTCCAGGAGGTCGTGGGTTCGATCCCGACCCTGACACCTGCTGTATATTTGGAGTTTGCGTTTCTCTCTCCCTGTAGAGATGTTAACTACCTCGCCTGGTGTACGGGAGGTTTTGGGTTCGATCCCGACCCTGACGCCTGCTGTATATTTGGAGTTTGCGTGTCTCTCTCCCTGTAGAGATGTTAACAACCTCGCCTGGTGTACAGGAGGTTTTGGGTTCGATCCCGACCCTGACGCCTGCTGTATATTTGGAGTTTGCGTGTCTCTCTCCCTGTAGAGATGTTAACTACCTCGCCTGGTGTACAGGAGGTCGTGCGTTCGATCCCGACCCTGACGCCTGCTGTATATTTGGAGTTTGCGTTTCTCTCTCCCTGTAGAGATGTTAACTACCTCGCCTGGTGTACAGGAGGTTTTGGGTTCGATCCCAACCCTGACGCCTGCTGTATATTTGGAGTTTGCGTGTCTCTCTTCCTGTAGAGATGTTAACTACCTCGCCTGGTGTACAGGAGGTTTTGGGTTCGATCCCGACCCTGATGCCTGCTGTATATTTGGAGTTTGCTTGTTCTCCCCATGGTGGCATGGCTTTTATCCCGGTCCTCTGGTTTTTCCCTCCACATTTAGGAACATGCGTTTGGAGTATTTGGCTGCTATAAAAATTCAATAATGTGCCACTTCGCTCAGCTATCATTTGTGGCCAGGTCGCTTGTACAGGGTAGGTGGCGGTGAAGGCTGAGGCGATGGATACCAGAATGGTCGGACGATGCTGTTGGTGACGTATAGGTGTGTGGTTGGGGCGATGCAAATTGGGTAGCGGTATTAATGAATTGACGACGTATTTGCGAAATGAAATAAAAAGGGCGAGACGTAAATCGGGCGTATGATTGTACGTCTATTTACAGGCATCCAGACAAGAACCGGGATCCGAATGCGGAAGACCGGTTTGTGGAGATCACTAAAGCCTACGAGGTGAGAGGGACGTACGCACATTTCCACCAGTGACGCAGGGATGCCGAAGGGCCGCACGACATAAACAGATAAGATTTAAAAAGCAGGGTCTGAATTGGCTAATGATGCTGAGGGGGGGAGGAGGGGAGCGTGAAATTGTGCAAAGTTTGGGGTTAAAGTTCAGAGGTCCGTAGCCAAGCGTGCCGAATCAGTCAATGGATTGAAAACTAAAACTATTTTTATTTTACCAGGTGATGCCCCACTGAGCTATGTAGCTCTTTTTCAGAAGCCACCGGTCCACAAAATGATAGCTCAACGAAGTGGCTTACTATGTGGAATTTACAGCAGCTAAACACTGTAAACGCACGATGAGTCTCACCGTGGAGAGAAAAACCTGACAAAAATCCACGCGACCATGGGAATATACAGGCGGACAGGGTCGGGATCGAACCCACGGCCTCCTGCATACCAGTGGGCCTTACCTGATAAAATAAAAAATGTTAATTTTTAGTTTAGTCACACGAGCCATACGGAGAAGATGGCGTTCTGTCACGGCTGCTTTGATTGTTTGCAGGTCCTCTCCAATGAGTAGAAGCGTTCACAGTACGACCGGTTTGGTGACTGTTTGCAGGTCCTCTCCAATGAGTAGAAGTGCTCTCAGTATGACCGGTTTGGTGATTGTTTGCAGGTCCTCTCCAATGAGTAGAAGTGCTCACAGTACGACCGGTTTGGTGATTGTTTGCAGGTCCTCTCCAATGAGGAGAAGCGTTCACAGTACGACCGGTTTGGCAGCCAGCATGGCGGAGGGGCTCAGTTCCAGCAGGGCGGCCACTTCCATCATCACGACCCGTTCTCCTCCTTCTTCGCACATCCCTACTTCAGCTCCTTCTTCCAAGAGGATGAGAGGTCAGTGGGGGCACCAGTTCCCGGTGATGAATGCTGTGGCATCGGCGCACAATATGACTAGTAGGCATTATCGAGGCAAAAGTATACGTAAGGGGCCGTCCATAAATGACGTCACGCACATGGGGGGGGGGGGGTCAGACATTTGTGAGGATGTGTAACGAGGGGGGGGTGTTTGGGAAATTTGACGTCACGTAAAAATGCGCAACTTTAAATAAATATAGACAACACGTTCTACTTAATTGAATAGACTTTTAAATACAGGTATTTCCCGACTTACGATGGTCCGACTTACGATATTTCAATCTTACGATAGCCATATGTCAAAATTCTAAAATATTTAAAATTTCGCGCGGCAGGCAAACGCAGCAGCGTACGAGGTACGATACTGTAACTTTATCATCGCCATCCTCCTCTTCCGACAACTAAGTTAATGTAGCCATCAACAACCCTAACATCGTTCAAGTATGCAGACGACGGACAGAATGTTGGTGAGTACAGTACAATATGATACGTTACGACACGTTCAATGCACGTATATGATACGTAGCTTTAGCGATTTCATTTTAGGGTTACCACGATACGATACATACGTTCATTGCATGTCAAAAGTTTTTTATAGCAGACAGGATTGTTTCCTGAAAAAACTTTCTATGAAATTGCAGTTCATATAGGTAGGCTAAGAATTTACCTTGTTTTTTTACTTTACATTTTACTGGGGGGCAGAGCTTTGTGACGTCATATTTGAGGGGGGGTCTGACTTTTTGTGATGCTGTGTGACGAGGGGGTGGGGGGGTAAAAAATCGTCCAAAATCGCATGACGTCATGTATGGACGGCCCCTAAGGGCTTACTGAGTGAGACCGGAGTGGGCGGTACTGGTAGTTACTGCCCAGCCAATGACGTGCAACAAGAGGTGGAGCCGACGCATCCCTCCCGGTGGCGCGGTGACATCAGAGTCCGACCCGCTTTGCGATTGGCCGCTTGTAATGATTGCATTGAACGGAGCGACGGGGCAGTGGTTAGCGCAATGCTCAGAAAACCCGGCAACCTAAGTTTGAATCTCAGGCATGGCTAAGATTGGTGAAGAATTATATTTAATCCAGTCCTGCTCTATCCCCCACCCCCCCACCCCTTTTACCCTTCATCATCCCGCGCTAACCAGCATGGTGAAGAATGGTCAGCCAGCACGGCATGACAGGCATGACATTAGAAGGCCTTAATCCAACAGTAGATTGGCAGAGGGAGGTAGGTTAACATGAACTACTGTCTGGCGTGGTTGCTGCCAGCATCTCACGTCTGTTGTCTGGTAACCCTCCCTGGCTGGAGGGCTTCATGATCGGTGCAGTGGTGCTGCCTTCACAGCTACGGCAGCGTAGCATCATGCGTGCCAGCTGCAGGGTTCAGAACATCAACAGGTCATTGCGCACGCCTCCTTCCTAAATAGGAAATGAAAGACAAGCAACGGTAGTGCAGTTGTGGCCATGCAATAACCCAAACTATGGACCACATGGTAAACCCACTGTAGTCTGTGCTTCTTTAACGGAGGAGGAACAGCAAAACGACACAAACTCTAAATTTTGATTTAAAGCTTTCGTGACTGCAGGGATTCATATTCTTGGTTCTTTCGGTAAAGTCACGTAGAAGGGAAACGATAAAATAATAAAAATATTGGTTTTTATTTTATTTTTCCCTTCTACGTGACTTTACCGAAAGAACCAAGAATATGACACAAACTCTCTCTCCTGAACCCTCCTCGTTGTGGCGAGTAGCAGGCCTCGACATTGGCATTTAGCTCCTGAAACCGTATTTTACCATTCGCAATCATTCTTCTAGCACGTGGTAAAGTTACGTGTAAATTATAAGTGCAGGTTTAAGTTTGTAAGCCATGTGATTATAGCTTTGGGAGTTGCGCAACAAGCGCTGTGCAGTCCGCCGGAGAGCAGGCTAAGTAGAACGATGCAGTTGTCACCAGCGATGTGGTCCATAGTGAGGTTCTGGTAGCCGTGGTCACCGGCACTGTGGGGTTCATCTTTAGCATCCCACGCTTGCAAGAGCCGTGCACAACACCAGCAGCAACAGCAGCAGCAGTGAGTAGTCGCTATTCTGCAGCGCTTGACGGAGGAGCCACCACAGTTTTCTTGGCAGACCCAAGGCCGTGCGGAGCAGCGGCGTGGTTCCCTTAATGAGGCTTCGATTGTTAACCTCGCCACAACTTGAGCGGTCTTCAGCTGACCTTACTTCATAGAAGCAACAGTTGCATGGAATAGGAGGGCAATGCTTCGGGGTTGGCTGTCTCTCTGCGGGGCTCACGTGTTGCTCACGGCGCGCGTACTGCTCAAAATAGTTGATTTTTTTTCAAATTTTCACTTTCGTTGTAAGTATTGAATGGGTTTGAGCGATGCGTCGTGTCGCCCGGGAGCAGGCTGGACGGAGAGGAGCAGGTCGGATGGCGCGCGTACGAGGGAAGGCTGCTCAAGGCGAGCTCCCAGCGGCCTTTCATGCTGCGTGTGACGTCACGAGCCTGCCTCGCCTGCCGACAAATGCTGCCCATGTGGAGGAGCACGGCTCCGACGCTGCTTGGCTATGGTAAGGCAGAGTGGATTCCCATTCGTGGGTTTCCTGGGTTAGGGATCCTGATGGCTTCGGGTTCTTGATTGTTGTTGATGATAATAAACTCAACTATTACACTATATTTTTATATTACCAAGTAAGGCCACACTGGGCTATATAGCTCTTTTTCAGAAGCTACCTGGTCATCACAAATGATAGCTCAACAAAGTGGCTCATCATGTGGAAATTGATAGTAGCCTAATACTCTAAACGCATGTTTATAAAAGTGGAGGGAAAAACTGGAGTACCCAGAGACAAATCCACGTGACCAGAGGGGGGATATGCAAACTCAAAATATACAGGTGTCAGCGTCGGGCATCCCAGAAGTTAATAATAATAACTGATAATGCGACGCACAGTAATTGCTCAATCTCGTGGAGAGATAACGACTCCGGATGCGCGGGGAACCACAGACGAGTGGGAGCCCTTGCCAACAATTGCAGGAGCTCTGCTGTCCTCCGTATATTTAAACGCGTTATCGTCCAATCAATGAGTATTTACATATGGGAGTAAACCGGAGCACCGGAAGAAAACCCATGCATGTTAGGGGGAAATGCTGTAACCCACACAAACCGAACAGGTATCGTTCACATCTTTGCTGTACTGGCTTCTCCTGGCAAGCCAAGGTATGACACCTTCTGATCACAGCAAACATCATGACACGTGCATTTTCTCCAGGTGCTCTGGTTACACTCCCAGATGTGTAAACACTAAGTAATTAGCCGAAAACACCTAAAATATATAGAGGACTGTTTCGATGATGGACGCGTACATCATCGGAACGGAATCAGAAGGAAAAGGCCACGCGGGAGGGCCTGTGGCACAGTTTGGCGCCAGCTATCATAGAGTGCGGTCGTGGTGTTACAGTTCTCTGCGGTGAGCAACAATGGCTTTAAAAACAGCGGCGCTACGCCTCTCTAAATAAAATCAACACCGAACTGCTTGCACATTCCGAGAATTCAGCGGTGTACAAGGGACCCAGACCCTGCAACCGGCCGACGTCTCGGAACGAGTAAAGGGTTGACCCGCTTCAGCCAATTGGATCTCTCCGAGACCCCGCCGTGCTGCACGAGAACGCTTTTGTGTGGCTCGCTCGCTCTTGTAGGCGTGGGCGTGGGCATGGTTGACGGGGACGTGGATGCGCGCCTGGTGATGAGGCTGGGCGTGCGCACGGTCCCCGCCGTGGTCGCGGTCCTGTCGGGGAAGAGCCACGTGTTCTCTGGGACGCTCTCCCGCGACTCGCTGCTCTCTTACCTCGACTCGCTGCTGCCGTCCCAGCTCGTGCAGACGGTAGGTGGGTGGGTGGGTTGGTTCGGGTGGGGTGGGTGGGTTGGGTGGTTTGGGTAGGGTGGGTGGGTTGGGTGGGGTGGGTGGGTTGGGTGGTTTGGGTTGGGTTGGGTGGTTTGGGTTGGGTTGGGTGGGTGGGTTGGGTGGGGTGGGGTGGGTGGGTGGGTTGGGTGGGGTGGGTGGGTTTGGTGGTTTGAGTTGGGTTGGGTGGGTGGGTTGGGTTGGGGTGGGTGGTTTGGTTCGGGTAGGGTGGGTTGGGTGGTTGGGGTGGGTGGGTTGGGTGGTTTGGGTTGGGTGGGTGGGTTGGGTCGGGGTGGGTGGGTTGGGTCGGGGTGGGTGGGTTGGGTCGGGGTGGGTGGGTTGGGTTGGGGTGGGTGGGTTGGGTTGGGGTGGGTGGGTTGGGTTGGGGTGGGTGGGTTGGGTTGGGGTGGGTGGGTTGGGTTGGGGTGGGTGGGTTGGGTTGGGGTGGGTTGGGTTGGGGTGGGTGGGTTGGGTTGGGGTGGGTGGGTTGGGTTGGGGTGGGTGGGTTGGGTTGGGGTGGGTGGGTTGGGTTGGGTTGGGGTGGGTGGGTTGGGTTGGGGTGGGTGGGTTGGGTTGGGGTGGGTGGGTTGGGTTGGGGTGGGTGGGTTGGGTTGGGGTGGGTTAGGTTGGGTTGGGGTGGGTGGGTTGGGTGAGGTGGGGTGGGTGGGTTGGGTGAGGTGGGGTGGGTGGTTTTGGTTGGGTGGGTGGGTTGAGTTGGGGTGGGTTGGGGTGGGTGGGTTGGGTTGAGGTGGGTGGGTTGGGGTGGGTGGGATGGGTTGGGGTGGGTGGGGTGGGTTTGGTTGGGGTGGGTGGGGTGGGTTGGTTGGGTGGGTGGGTGTATGTGGTCTACACAGCAATCCATGTAGTTTAGTAATGGGCAACCTGCGGCCAGCGGTCTGCACGCATCCCGTGGAACCCCTTGTGGTGGCCCGATGGCAGTACGTCTATGGCAGTGTTTTGCTGATAAGACATCAGTGTTAGGACCGCCACACCGCCTGCAAGGGGTGTTTTCACATTCGTGTATTGTCAGGAGCCACGCGTTAGGGACCACCAGGGGCCGCCAGTGGCTCGTGGGCCTTGCAATGAAGAACGGCAGTCTAGGATGTCGTGTGAGGTCATGATTAGTGCACAAGCAAGATGTCAAGCTTGCGTCCCACCGAGGCAAAGGAGGGGCCGCTCTTGCGGCCCACCGACTCGTCTGGGGTTGCCTACCGCTGGTCTAGCTCCTGCACGCGACATGATTTCATCACGCCGTCTCCGCGTTGGGCCTCCTGCCGGGCGCGTCGCGCTCCTCCGTCCGCCACTCCACGTCGCTGAGTGCCGAGCCGCCGGGCCATCATCCCTCGTCGTGATGGCCCCCGCCCCGATCCCCACTCACCCTTCTCTACGTTCGTGTCGTTCACTACCCCACAGGTTGACGCCGACTCAATCGAGCCGTTCCTGCAGGGTGCCGTGAGTGACAGCAAGCCGCGCGCTCTGCTCTTCTCCGCACGCACGACACCGTCCCTGCTTTACAAGGTGGGCCACGTTTACACCGTGCAGCGCACACACCAGCACCCGTGTTGATTGTGGCCTTCGCGACGTTTTTCCCGCTGCGTTTTTTTGCTTGTCAGCTTGAAACCACGTGTTGTTCCGCGTGACGTTCTACGTTTCGCGCCCCCCCCCCCCCCCCCCCGCAATGTGTGCCAAGAGCTTATTCAGTGAAATGTCGAACATCGTGATTTTAAACAACAATGCAATTTGGCCCGAAAAAAACTCATGGGAGAGAGCCGTACGACAGTACAACCGCGGATTTGAATGCCAGGGCTAGTCGGGTGTTGCCAGTGACCGAACGGACTATGCCTCTCCCGCCAGCTCACGGCATTCGCGTACCAGGACCACGTGCGGTTCGGGTTCGCCTCCGGCTCCGGGGGACACCACAGGGAGACTCTGCGCCGCTTCGGGGTGAACGCGTTCTCCCCGACGCTGCTGCTCTTCAAAGAGAGCCCCGTGGAGCCCGCCGACATCCTGCAGGTCTCGCCGCTCCCTTCGTCGTCATCGTTGTCATCATCTTTGTCGTCATCATCTTCGTCGTCGTCATCGTTGTCATCGTCGTCGTTGTTGTCATCATCTTTATCGTCGTCGTCGTCATCGTTGTCATCATCTTCGTCGTCGTCATCGTTGTCATCGTCGTCGTCGTCATCGTTGTCATTGTCTTCATCGTCATCATCTTTATCGTCGTCATCGTTGTCATCATCTTCATCGTTGTCGTCATCGTCATCGTTGTCATCATCTTCATCGTCGTCGTCGTCATCGTTGTCATCATCTTCATTGTTGTCATCGTCATCGTTGTCATCGTCTTAATCGTCGTCGTCATCATCTTTATTGTCGTTGTCATCATCGTTATCATCTTCATCGTCGTCATCGTTGTCATCATCTTCATCGTCGTCATCGTCATCGTTGTCATCATCTTCATTGTCGTCGTCGTCATCGTTGTCATCGTCTTCATCGTCGTCGTCGTCATCGTTGTCATCGTCTTCATCGTCGTCGTCATCATTGTCATCATCTTCATCGTCGTTGTCATCATCTTCATCGTTGTCATCATCTTCATCGTCGTCGTCATGGTTGTCATCATCTTCATCGTCGTCGTCATCTTCATCGTCGTCGTCATCGTTGTCATCATCTTCATCGTCGTCATCATCGTTGTCATCATCTTCATCGTCGTCGTCGTCATCGTTGTCATCGTCTTCATCGTCGTCGTCATCATCATTGTCATCGTCTTCATCGTCGTCGTCATCATTGTCATCTTTATCGTCGTCGTCGTCATCGTTATCATCTTCATCGTCGTCATCGTTATCATCATCATCATCGTCGTCGTTGTCGTCATTGTCATCATCGCCGTCATCGTTGTCATTGCCGTTGTCTTCATTGATTACTCACAGCGCTCCTTCCATGCAGTACATCTCCAGGCTGATCACTAAGGTGTCCCGATTCGACGAGTTTGTGTTAACATTTTACTATTCATCAGCATCAGCATCATCAATTTTCATCATCAGGCATGATCGATCCACTGCTGGATGAAGGCACTCCCCTCACACCGCCGCCATCTCTTGTGGTCCTGCGATGCGATAATCCATCTAAAAACCTTAAACTAAAAAACAATTTTTATTGTACCAGCTAAGGCCCACTGAGCTACGTAGCTCTTTTTCAGAAGCGATCTAGGCACAAATGATAGATCAACGAAGAGGCTTATCACGTGGAAATTTCTCGCAGACAAATACTCCGAACCAGTGTCCTTCAGACATTTTTAGAAGGGGGCCACTTTCACCGTTAAGACGTCAGTGCAAGGGCCGCCACACATTTGAAACCATTGGGTTTGACAGGACGGTGTGGGGTGTTTTCACATTCGTGGGGCCAAGCGTTGGTCCTCCCACACATTCCGAGATGTCTGGCCAACGTGCGAAAGAGGAGGCCAAGCACCCCGCAGAGCTCCCTTTAGTTGAGGGATCTGAGCAGTGGCGTGAGCAGGCAATTGCAGGGCTGCACCTGAATTATGAACCTTCCCCTTTTTCAGACGAAAGACATCAACAGGGAAGCTCTGGATGAAATCATCTCGAGGAACAAGTTCTTGGTGGTTCCCCGACTGACCAGTCAGAAGGTCTTTGAGGAGCTGTGCCCTGCTCGAGGAGCCTACCAGCAGAACAGGTGCCTCCTTAGCACTGGGAGATGTGACCACACACACGTTGAAGATTATTGGCACGTTACATGTATATATGTATAGGGCGCCACGGTGGTGAGACGTTATCTCCCTCGCCCGGTGTACCAGAGGACGTGGGTTCAATCCCGACCCTAACGCTTATATTTTTTGAATGTGCATGTCTCTCCGTGGTTGCGTGGATTTTTCTCCGGGTCCTCTGGTTTTTCCCTCCACATGTATAAACATGCACGCCAAATCCATCCTTTTGGTGCAGTTTTTTTATTGCAACTTCACACTACAAGTTTAAATTATATTGGATCGTCTTTATAAGAGTTACTGTGTAACCCCCTTTTTACAGACGGACAAGCAAACGTAGCTAAATGAAATTGCGCTTTCTACCTTAACTTGAAAGCGTTTAAAAAAAAATCAGCTGTGTTCGTTTTCTCTCGACGGAAGTTAACGAATGCGTCCCTCTCCTCTAGGCCGTGCGTGGTTCTGGTGTCGGAAGACTTGGCGCTCATCTCTGGGCTTCTGAATGCAGCCTCCATGCAGGCCAAGGCGCAGTTTACCCACGTGTCGCGGGACACGCAGGCCGACTTCACGAGGGCGCTCGCCAACGCCGTGGGCGCAACCGGGGAGAACAGCGTACGCACACTTGCACACACGCACATTCGAACACGCGCACAGGCGAACATTCGCACACATGAACGCGTGCGCACTCGCACACACGCGAACACGCCAATACTCAAACACAATGATGCGTAGCTCCTTTGTCGATCCGCTGCTGTGGACGAAGCCCTCCTACAGCGCCACTGTCGTTCACCACGCAGCTCGGTGCGGGTTGATGAAGCCCCTGGTGCATTGACGTCAGAGCATTGGGCCTGCAGCGCAGTAGTCCCGATATCGTCTTGTTTGTACCCTGATGGTAACTCCCCCATCAGCCGAAATGTAACGGATCTCGTGTCACTGGCGTTGTAAATAATCGATGCTCGTGAATACGGTTTGATGCGTGTTGCTTGACCGGGGCCACGTTGCCAGCAGATTTTAGTTGTACTGTACCACGCTCTCACATCTTTGCTAAATGCCGTCCCCAACCCGCACTCACCACCGTGACGGGAGATCGTCAGAAAAACTCCCGGTGACCCACACGGCGTGGTTAGGGCCCCTCATCCATCCAGCAGTGGATTGACAAAATAGCCACACCAGTATAAACTGGTGCCCAGGTGTAATTAATTCTTCGGGGCTACTACGCCGTTCAATTTTATTTCACGTTCTGTGCTACTCTCTCTCGCCTCGCCTGCCAGGTAATTGCCGTTTGGCGAGAGAGTCCGTCTGGCAGGGCTGCTTGCGAGCTGGTGGCCGACCACTGGAAGGGCCTGGAATGGGATGTGCACTTCTTGCTGGAACGCGTCGATGACATCGTCGGCAGAGGAATGAAAAAGCTCCCTTACTTGGCCACGTTGCCACGTCTACACGACGAGAACACTCCGGTATGTGCGGTGTTCCTTGCTCATACTGTATTTGTGGAAAGGCTGTGTGTGTCTGTCGGCGTTGTTTGGGGCTGTCGTGGGGGGCTGTAGTTGTAGTAGAGGTTACCGCGCTGCGCTACGAACCCGGTGACCCGAGTTCGATTCTCGATCATGGCAAACACCAGTGACGATTATTTCAACCGGTCCTGCGCCTCCCCTAGGTCGATCCAAATGAGTACCTGGTGCGGTGTGTAAACATTGCAACTAGGGAGACAAAGGCGACCGGGCATGGTGCTGGCCACCCAAGCCCTCGTGCAGTGCCAGCCTTCAAAGGTGCTCCTTTGTAACAGCACTTGCCCCAACAGTCTGTTAATGTCTATACGGGGGGATATTTGTCTTTTGTGTGTGGGTTCTGGTGAGTGTGGATGTATGTTTTGTTTGGATGTGTGCACCAGTGTGATGCATCAGTGTTGATTTTTTTTATTTTATTCTAGTTAACTAATGCTCGAGGGCTATCATCAACCGTGACGGTTACTGCGGTCTACCCACCAATGATCACAAAGCATGACTATGACGATATGAAATTAACTACAGCAGAACTCTCCCTGGTAATGTGGACGGGGTTCGGGGAATAAAATCACACAACGTATAATCCGCTAGGAGAGCCAAGAATTTTCGTGGGGTGCTGGGTGGGGGGGATAAATTGCAGATAATTGAAGGAATTTGCATCAACTCTCATGCGCTAAACACATGCGGATAATTCCGCAAGTCACGGCAGTCAAAACACAAGGCTTAACCCCTGCGGGGGTAATTGGCTGTACGTGGCGGACCATCTGTATCTTTGTGTACGTCCTGAAGGAGTGGTTAGTACAATGATCCCAGCCACCAACATTTGATTCCCCTCCCTTCCACAACATTGGCCTAGCGGCGTCTGAAACTGTCCTGGGGTCTCCTGAAGGTGAACTGGGCCTTTAAATGTGTACCTTGTACGGTGGGATCACACCGGCACCAGAGAGAGGTTAAAGGTCAGCGGGACATGCATGGTGTTGTTGCATTGCGTAATCACGCGTGCCGTGCAATCCTTCATGGGTGCTCAACCCACATAGCACTTTGTCCTTTATGGGTCTGTAAGGCTAACCGACGATCGTTGTGTTCATGTGCACATGCTGCCTTTCAGAATATAATCGTTCGTTGGTATCGTGCACTTGAAGATACACTTTCGGAAATTTGGTCAGAAATGCGTCTGATCCGATGGTAGGTGATATTTTTTTTATTTCACACGCAAAACTACTCCTTTATAATTGTCGGTACATCTGCGGCAGCGAGCTACAGGCCATAAGTCAAGAGTTTTGTTTCGGAAGAAATTTGGTGGCTGTCAAATTAATATGTTCACAAAAATATGTTTTGGGGGGAAGTATTAATTAACATTCAAGCTTTGTAAAACAATAAAATTCTGAAAAAAAACCATATAGGTCATTGTTTAATTGTGGAAATTTTAAAAACAGCAAGATTCTCAGCAGCCACAGGCCTCAATTTCTTCAGGTCATAAATCCTTTTTGAAATGCGCACCCAGTTGTGGCTTGAAATCTATAAACTTCCTTATGGGGATCTGTCCCGAATTGGCCGATAACTTGTTCATAGATAGCCTTCCAGCTCTTGTCTGCGGTTCCTCAGCGATTGCACGAACGACACTATATAAATGTAATAATTAGATTAGATACGTGCGATTATTGTACTCGTGTATAAACAGACACGGATGTACGAGTCAAATGCATTTGCAAGTAAAGTTGTGTGTGTGTGCGTGCTTTGTCCCAATTTAGGCGGGAGCTCATGCCAGTACTCTCCCTCGTCTTCTCTGTTATCTTTGTGCTTTTTGGAACCTTCATCATCAATGCTTTCAGGTACTCGCCAAGCACATTTGGCACGCATTGTGTCAATACCCTTACGGAAGCCACTGCATAGTCCAACTGGACATCTGTGATAAAGAGCTTTATAGCTCATCGGATTCCTCCAGTATGAATAAATATCCTGATTCATGCATGACTGCTGTCACTGTATGCTCACAGAAGAGTGCTGCCCCCCCTCCACTGCTTCGCATGACATTCAGGGTCAAATAAAACGCCTGCTCACTAACGAAATGTGTCGGTGCATCTGCAGGCTCTAGTAAACCACTGACCCTTGATCCGAGGTTCTGGGCCAGTTCTGGAAATTCCCCATTTCTCCAATGGGAGCCAGTGCGCTCGGAGGACAAAGCGCCAATTGATTTTAGTTTTGTTAACGATTCACTCCTCCAGCGATTCAATGTTTCGTCACGATTCGGGGTCACGGTTTTGGGGTCACAATTCGGGGGTCAAGATTAGGGGTCACGGTTTTGGGGTCACGATTCGGGGTCACGGTTTGGTTCAAGAATGGATTCTGTTCGGTTTTACATTTGCCATACCGTTTGTAATGTTTCATGGAGGGAGGGGGGTGAGGGAGGGGTTGGAGAGGGGCGGTAGAGTTTGTCCCATTTGTACAACTTTTGAACTACAGCATGAATGCAACATAGGCATATCAGTTGTACGTAATTTGCATAAGTTGCAAGTGATTCTCACACACGTAAGTCGACCCATGTCACATGACCAGCAGACCACATGTTCAAGGTTCTGCGCATACATGTTTCACGTGTGTGTTTGCATGGAGCAGTAGTGGTTAGCACTATGAACTGCAAATACCTACGTGTAATTCCTGACAACGGTTACCATCAGTGGTGAATGTCTGAACCGGTCTTGGGCCCTCCCCTAGGTCGACTCGGCGTTAAATTAGTACTTGGTTTGGCATGGTGTGTAAACATCAGCTCTGGGGTGACGAAGGCGGCCAGATGTGGTGTTGACCACGTGACCCCTTCGTGCACTCTGCCGACAACAATGGGTGCTCACCAACAGCATTTGCCCATCGTGCTGTAAAGGCCGCACGTGGATGATAGTACACATGTCTCTGTGTCTATTTGTTCGCCGTGTTTTCTGTGTGCGTATCTCAGTGACACACCCAGCAGTGGCAGGGAGAGGGAACGGAGGCAGAGCCCTCAGAGTTTATCACGGCCTGCAACCTCCTCGCACACTCCGTGAGTTACCACAGCTGTAGTCCAGACAACACGATCAACTTGCTGCTGGATAAAGGCTTTCTCAAGGCATGACCATCGCTCAAAGTCTTGTTATGAAATGGTCAAGATAGCTTCTGCACGAGAGCTGCTTTGTCTTGGGCGCATTCCCGCCTTTGGCTGCCACTCCTTTGTTAGTCTCGACCACCAGCTGCCATTCCTTCTAGCGATGCATCCTGGCCAAGCCCACTTATGTTAACAGTCAAAATTGTACGATTGCCACATTGTGTCATGAGATAGAAAAATCCACTCGGACCTATCGTGGCGTGCAAGCCATCACATTAGCGGATATCGCAGTGCTGTTTCTGAGAGCCCTTCAATATATGTATGTTGAACTTCTTTCACGAAAGAAGTTATTTCATGAAAGAAGTTCAATGTGCATAGCTGGGGGCAGCACTTTGCACTTTGCCACTGAGAGTAAAGTTTGTTTTATGATAGTCAACCCAATAATTGTTGATTTCTGAGAGCTGGACTTTAATCAAATTATATGCAGATATAAATGTTTTTTTGTCGTGTGCTTAGTGACCAGACCGAGACAATTTAACTCCACCACGACTGACAACTTAGTTGAATCACAGGTGCCTACCTGCATGCGAACCCAAGATCGCAGCGGTACCAGCTCAGCACTCGGACTGCCGAACCACCCGGCCGTCTCTTGAATTCTGTGTTTGCTTTGGGGACACGCCAGAGAGATGTTGAATCGCATCTCAAAGCAATCGAGCACAGGTTTTTTGTTATGATTTTTTCAGTACAGTTTTGAGTTTGAGGTACGTTGTGCACATTTGTGCTCCTCGTGTGCCATTTTTTTGCGGGACGATGATCGGCTACTTTTGTTACCCCTGTTGGTTTAAGCGCTCACTGCGACGGTTGATGCGCAGGCCAGGCGGAGAGAACTTGGAACTCACGGAGCTGACGGGCGACCTTTACTCGAGCTACTTGGGTGGCCTTCGTCCGGGTCACATGACCGTGCTACTGGTTGCCATGGCACCGCATCACTATCTCTCAGTGTTCGCCTCCATCATGAAACCGTTTTCCCGGTGAGTGTTGGGACCGCTCCTCAAAGTTCCAAGCGGTGACGCAATCTACCATCGCCACACACAGTCGAGTGTCCTTCCATATTCTGCCTGAATTTTAAAGTTGTTTATTCATTCCCGTTGGAACGTTCATAACCCGCTCTTGTACGTTTGCAAGTGTGCAGATAGAAGTCGCCCGTGACTCTACCACTGTTGAAAGCCATACAAAGCCATATCAAGGCGTCATTCTCCTAACTCTTTGCAAATGGGGGCCACAAACATTAGTGTAAATAGTTTGCATGTATATACAAAACTTAATTTTATATGCATGTGAATGTCTTTGTCGACACACCGGTGTGCTTAAGCAGTAATACATTGGCAGCATTTGTCCAAGTGACAACTTTATTCATTGGTTATATAGGTTTTTTTGGGGGGGGTTAAATCACGTAAATATAAATGTGTCGTTAAACCCACAACCACCCGTCACAGCCAATTAGTAAGGTTTGTCACTTAAACAGAATACGCCAATTCGTTATTCACTGGCCGTATCAGATGGTTGAGGGTGCACGACAGAACATTATCCTTATGGCGATCTGTCCTGAAAATCAACTGTGGACTGTAAATGCCTACTCGTCTTGAATTCAAATGGCTTTTCACGCACGTGAAGATGCAAAACATTGACGCTTGCAAAACTATAAACGGTTGCAAACGCGCAATTCTCACCGTTACTTCCGTTGTGTCTTGTGTTTCAACCCTAGCAACCGCTACCTGCACTTTGGCTTTGTATCTCTGAAGAAGCACGCCGACTGGGTGAACGCGGTTCTCTCTGCCGCGGGATGCGAGTCCCTGCCAGGGTGCGACCCTGCCGACATCACGCTGAGGAACGCGCCTGTGTGCGTGATCGCCATCAATCCGCACCGCCGGTACTTCTGCATCATGCGCTCAAACCTGGAGTCGAGGATATCGCAGCAGGCCAGCACGGACGATGACAAGATGGCTTTTGCTGTCATGAATAAAGTTTTGAAAGGTATCTTAATCCAGTGAATTAAGAGTTTGGGGTCAATGCACTGCTCACGTACATCAAAGTCTTCAGGATCTCCTGTGGACTTACTTCTACCTACCTCTTAACTTCTTGTCTCTACTCTCCTTCGTCCACTCTCCTGTCTCTCTCCCCTTTCATCTCACTCTACTTCGCTTCCAGACACTCTCCTACCTCTCCCCTTTCATCTCACTCTAGTCCCCTCCACACACTCTCCTGTCTCTCCCCTTTCATCTCACTATCGTCCCCTCCAGACACTCCCCTATCTCTCCCCTTTCATCTCACTCTAGTCCCCTCCAGACACTCCCCTATCTCTCCCCTTTCATCTCACTCTAGTCCCCTCCAGACTCTCCCCTATCTCTCCCCTTTCATCTCACTCTAGTCCCCTCCAGACTCTCTCCTATCTCTTCCCCTTTCATCTCACTCTACTCCCCTCCACACACACTACGCTTCAGCAAACACGACATTCTATCGAAGCCCCCAGTCGACCTTCCCCCAGTGGGCGGTCACTCAAACTCCTTGGCTGCCCTCTTCCCCCAGCCGTGCATGCTGTTGACTCACTGCTCCTGTTCAAGTCCACACTAAATGCCTTTCTTATTCTGGCCTCACTCCTAGGACTTCCCCCTTGGTCACTAGACTTTTGGAGACCACTCTAGTGCCCGTCACGGTAACATGTGGGTGCCACGGTGGCGAGATCTCCACTACCTCGCCTAGTATACAGGAGGTTGTGGGTTCGATCCCGACCCTGACGCCTGTATATTTGGAGTTTGCATGTTCTCCTCGTGGTCGCGTGGATTTTTCTCTGGGTCTTCCAGTTTTTACCTCCACATTTAGAATCAATATGGGTTTAGAGTGTTTGCCTGCTATAAATTTCCACACGATAAGCCACTTCATTGGGCTATAATCTGTGGCCAGGTCGCTTCTGAAAAATAGCTCTATAGCTAAGTGGGCCTTAACTGGTAAAGCAAAAGAAATATCCTACCAAGCGCAAGCAATTTTTCCTCACCATATCTACAAAACTTGCCTAACAGGTTCCCTTCCAGACTTCTGCATCGACAAACAACTCATTTACATGTTGCTTAAGTTTGGCGTCCAGCTCTCTGATCTCTGTTCCATGTATGCAGTGATTGCAGAGGGCACTTCCCAAAGCACTCTGACGAAAAGTGACGTTGGTCAGCTTGATGCCGCGCACACACACACACGCGCGCGCGTGCGCGCGTTACACGTTTTACCGACGGAAAATCAACACCGCCGCCTGTGTCCGCAGATGAACGTCGTCGCTCCTCTCCAGCATCGTCGTCTGACCCCGGAAACGACAAATCTGCTCGTGAGCAGTCGGCAGGCATCTCCGCAGGCAGCTTATTCCGGCCGGAGTGGGCACTGACCGGACTGGACACGTGGATGGAGCGTCTCTTCGAAGGAACCTTGCCCAGGCACTACGTGTCCAATTTGCCCGGCATGTAGTCTTGAAGTACACTTCAAACGAGCGTTCTTGTCTTTCAATTCTAAAGTCAGCGTGTGAATGTTTTTGGCAGACATTTCCGTCACGGTGGTCGTCTCCCATCTTTTTTTTTAACAGTACCGTTACACGATACAGCGTGCGTTTAAATTTAACGTCCATATCAGCAACGGTTGGGCACATACGGTGCGAAAGAAGTTCAACATGCATACATGCCATCTCCAGATGCTCCACTGAAACGGCGGGGCGTGTTTAATTTGTAGAACGAGGCGCACTCGGTCATCATAAGGAAGTTTTTGAGTCTCACGATTTTCCTGCAGAGGGATTTACTACTCTCGGTCATATTTATAGGGAATGCCCGCAAAAATGTTGATTCATCCGAACATTTTTTCAAAAACAAGAGGCTGTAGGAAGTTATAAGGATGGCCAAATAATATGAGCAATAATATCAATAATAAGAGAGGAGACTGGTGTGAGGAAGAGAGGGAAAGGGAAGGGGAAAGCCAGGTCCAGGACTGGCAGAGCGGACAAATGTGGGGGGGGGGGTTATGACGTGTGGTCGAAGAGGTTAAACGGAGATGACGGAGCAGTTGAGTGCCCGTGACATAACTTGGTGTTTGTCTGCCCCTGGGTAGATATGGGGGGCAGGGGGGGGGGGGCGGTTGTACGACGGGACAGAGGAACGTGATGTACACGGAGGAAGTATCCAGGCCGCAGTCATTTTCTGGATATAAAACGTGATTGCGATGTGCGTCGGTGACGTTCCTCTGTCCCACTTTCACATCTCGTCGCAATCCAGGAGCAGACGAACGCAAAGTCACGTCACGAGACGAGCACCAAAGTTTGTCGCAATTATAGGGGCTCTTTGGGATGCAGCCACGCTCCCAAGGGACACCTTCACCGAGGCGCTTCACCTGCGCAGTGGCCTTGCGTACCTTTGCGGAGCATCTGTGTTCAAATAATCACGGCGACAATTCCAAAAGCGCCTGTCACTCGGCAAGCCAGTTACTGCGAGGGCGCTCGCAAGTGACAAAACGTTTGTCATCAGTCCATTGTAATGGGAAATCGATGTAGTGTCTTGTCACCTGCGGCTGTTCAAACAGGTGGGTAGTTTTGAGTGAGTTTGTATGAGATGGTGGCGACTCAGCGGCTCACCTTGTCTTGCTTAAGAATGGTGCAAGGTAGAGGGAAACCATTTTCTAATCCATAGTCATTTTATCGATGAAATGCCCTTTTTAAGTAAAAATTTTGGGGAATTATAAGAACAGTCGTGGCAATGGCTAAAGCCAGAAATGTATTGGCAAGTCTACTACCCTTGAACAGGAGATTACGAGAAGAAACATAGAGGTCAGGGATATGAAGTGAAAAAATTACACAGTGGCGGTGGACTACAAATTTTATTGAAAGTTAGAGAGAACAAGTTGTGTCTTTAGTTTAGACTTACAACCAGGGTAGTGGCCTCTTTTAGGCCTCTTTAAAGGCTAAGAGGAACAAACACCAGAATCGGAGGATCTCGGATGCCACGGAGAAGCTTATGGGGTTAGTAGAGGTATGCAGGGCTAACGTTGCGAAGGGCTCGGTAGGTGAGAAGCAGAATTGTGTACTTTGTCCGTGGCTTATTAGGCAGCTAATAGAGAACTAGGCAGGTGTGGTGTTATGTTATGGTTCTTGCACCAGCTGCAGCCTGTTAGTGCAGCATTATTGTGTGCAAATACAAATTGGATGTAAAAAAATAATTATGTTGGTATATGGTCAGTTAGCATGGAAACATTGAACGGGCACAAGCATCGTAGAAAAGTAGCTGCAGTGGTTTCTGCCTCGTAAATGACAGGCGCAAGTCTTCCCATTAGCGTTCTGCAGATACAAGTGACCACTGTCATCCTGCGATCCACTTTGAAGGTTTTCACGTGTTCGTGTGTGTTCATGTTTATGCGGAAAAATATAAATGTATATGGGTAAATATGGTATTTATTTAACGTGAATAACGTAAAACGTGGTTGAACCGCCTACACCATGCACAAAAGGCCCGAGGCTAACTTAGCGTGGCCATTAGATCCAAGCAGTAATTGCAGGGAGTCGCTTTTAACGGCAAAATTCTGAAAATTTGACATTCCTGCGGCGGCGAGGTAACCCCCCCCCCCCCCCGCCCAGGCATGCTGCCGGAGGCGATCCAGAGGTCGCTGGTTCGATTTCGCGACGCGGCAGTTGAAAACAACGGGGCAAGTTTCTTTCCAAGCGGAAGTGTAAAACTGATCAACCGCAGTTAATCGGTACGTCGCGCGAGCATTGACAATTATTGGAGGCCCTCCCGCCAGCAGGAGCGCAAGTACGCGATTGTAGGGCTGCACCTTTACCTAAGGTGGCTCCGGCCGTCATCAGTTTCACTCTTGGTGGATAGTCGGCACGGCAACGTGTGAACCTGCCTCACTGCTGCGTGCGTGTGACTTTCAGCTGGTACATCGAACAAAATAACTCGGCAGCCCGTTATTAACCTACTGCTACTGCCCTAACACCCTTTTACGGTCAATGCATCTCAAGCATCCAACATATATTTTTAAACACAAATGGTAGTTACGTTGGAATAGCTACTGCCCCAATAACACCGCTTTGAAGCACCATGCACGATCGTCCTTGAAGCCTCCAGTCAACTCATCCCTTGTGCATGGTGTAGATGTTTCGTCTGCTAACAAAGTTTGCTGTGATTTAACATTGTACATTTTACACTTGTGGAAAAGAGTCGATCCAAAAACCGTGTGTCATCCGTAATGAAACCGCTGGCTGTAAATAAAGTGATGCGGTTTTTTTAAGTTTTAATGAAACCACCGTTGTCTATTTTGCTTAGTGCTTCTTTGTAAAGTATGTTAGATTTAGTACGTCTCATCTCAACCATCGCAATGCCCTGCCAGTGTCTCGCCAGGTGGGGGGGGGGGGGGCCCTCAGCGGCAGCTGTCCCTGTGCAGGGCACGGTATTTACATATTCGGCTGCCAGTAGATGGCGATGTTACGGTGTATTCACAGCATTCAAGGCATGTCGGTCAACCACTCACTTGTCTACACCGTTCTTCGTTAATTTTCAGCTGTACGCCTCTCGCCGCTAAGACATCATCAGTGTGAGGGCCGCCACACATTTTAAAGCATGAAAGGCCACCAGTGGCCCGTGGGCCTTACAAATGAAGAACACTGGCCTACACCAACGGTTCCCAGCCTGTGGTCCGTGGACTCCTGGCGGTCCGCTAGGCTACAAGAACTTCTACGTACATGAAATAGGTGCCCGCTAACAGCACTTGCCCCAACAGTCTGTTTAAGGTGGTTCCTCTCAAACGGCACCTGAGGCCTCTCTTGCTGTGCTTGACGACTCTGCAGGGTGAATCACTTCTTCATGGAAGTGCACAACTTAGCCCCCCCCCCCCATAAATTTACCACAAGTGCAGGGGTCACTCGCAGTGAACTTGGCTCCCATCAAGTGCTGCTGTTGCACTGCGCCAGGCGGGTTTTGCGGAAACGCAGCGGCATTTGTTTAAAAGGACCACACGCTGTTGGCAAGTGTCGGAAGGTGAAAACTTGAAGTGAACGCTGCAGTAAAAGACACATGTATTTTCAAATTTATTTTGGTAATCAATGTACTTGTGTTGTACTTCGCAAACATTAAACCTTCGTAGGCGATGTTTGTTGTAATGCACCCCACATTTTTATGTTACGATTATAACAAAAGTGCACAATTTTACATTTCGTTAAATTTACAGCAAAAAAACATTTTCTTTGAGTGCTTTTAATGTGTTTTAGTGCAGTATCAGGCCTGGCAGCCTCACCACGCTCGACGCTATCATTCATTCGCTGTACACAAGCACACTGTGGTCCTGTCCGTTTGCCGCAACTCCTGCGCATCTGATGAGCTCAGGCTAAGATGTATTTGATGGGTGGCACGTCTAGTTCCTGTTCACTGTCGATGCCGTGACAAGCCACCATGAGCTCCAAGTATCCCACACCGGGCTCCTCCGGCATTGGCAGCATTTGAGAAAGCCTGCTAAAAACAAACATGCTTCAGCAACAACGCACGCGTGGCACCACGATCCAACTTTCAAATGTCTTGAGACGGGAGGTTGATGCGAGTCGCTAATCCCCTGTAAAGCGCTTTAAGATGCCGCAAGCCTGAAGGAGGGTGGCTCTATCAAAGACAACTCATTATTACTATAGTGTTCTCCTATAACGTGGTGGTTGCGTTCCTGAAGAACACTGCGACATAAAAAATTATAGAATGCAGGGAAAGCACAGTCCATGATAACACGTGAAATGCGTATGCAGGCCGAACAAAGACCGAGGTGTGCAGGTAGCATCTAAAAGCATCCAGCAGCATCCCACCTTGTGTGATGCTACGCCGAGGCAGCCGTATGGCCGCTTATTCCTACTCGCGTGACGTAGCTCCATTTACTTAATCGCGTTATATCCAATTCGCATCCCCATTACAAAAGTGTTCCCTAATACATTAATCGTGTTATATATCAAATTTGCGTTATGAAAAAACACAGGATGTTATTATACGTACGGTTTTGAGAGGTTATCGTCGTTCAACGGCGGGTAAAGCAACCGTCCAGAGCAGAGCGCAATTGTCACCACCAACTCGTGCTCCGCCTGGCAGGGGACATTCAAAGTCAGATTACCGAGGTGGTTTTGCGCACTCAACAGACCGGTGAACTAGAACTTTGGGGGCTCCCCGGTGGCTAGGAGATGTCAACTCTCTCGCCTGGTATACAGGAGGCCGTGGGTTCAACCCTAACGGCTGCTGAATATTTGGAGTTTGCGTGGCTCTCTCTCCCCGTGGTCATGTGGATTTTTCACCGGGTCCTCCGGTTTTCCACTCCACATTTAGGAACGTGCTTTTATCGAGTATTTGGCTGCTATACATCTCTGAAAAAGAGTTATATAGCTCAGTAGGCCTTACCTGGAAAAATAAAAAATAGTTAGGTTTAGCTTTAGTTTCTCTCATGCTGGGAGGTGGGTAATGTTAGAGAGCGGACCGCCAGTATAGCGTGTGCGCCTCTCTGTGCCAATCTTTGCCAGTATCCATTTGTTTAAGCATGATAAACTCCGGACAGATTTTGACTTGAGCCTGCACCAGTGGCATAGGTGTCAAGCGTACAGGCAGTATAATAATGATAATATCACATAAGACTGCCAATGCCACGGTTGCCTCCCATCATATGTAACAATGATATTCTTGGCCATAATTGTAAAGCCATTAATCTATTTGGCGCAACAATCTCATGTCACCTGTCATGGAATAGCTGTGTTACTAATCTGGTTAAGGCAGCATCGAATAATCTTTTGGCTTTCTTGTCTGTGGCAAAGTCTCCTTTAACTCTGAATAATTAATACCACTATACAAAGCACACATCGGCCAAAGTTGGAAAACTGCTCTCATATCTGGGATGGAGGACCCAATTCCTACCTCATCGCACCTGATATAATTTAACGTAAAATAATCCAGCTGAATGATGATCCAGCACTCACTGATTCACTTCAGTCATACGCTCACCGGTGGTAAGTCGTCTCATTATCACTCTGCCATCGCTACTACTACGACCATGGTTATTGTTCCTGTGAACTATCCTCCTCCACCCATGTTGAGGACTCGGTCTGCCAGACAGACCGTTTCATGTCATGTGGTGTTGTAATAAACACCACGATGCGGGTCACAACAACAGGTTCACTCACCCACTCACTCATCCACCACACAGCAGGTCGCAGCCACTTTACTTTTTGTTTTCTTCCCTCGCACTGCTCCACTTGAGAATTACATCCAATCGTCTTTTTTTTTTTCCACACAAGCTCTCGTAATAATCTCGCTCAGTTCAAACACGCGTTCCGCTCTTGATCTATTGCAGCTTTGACAGTGCAGTCTGTTGCTGTCCGCTTGGCATTTTAGACCTTTGCTCAGCAAACTTGTGTTTAAAAGAGAATAACTGCACCGAGGCCCAAGGGCTGGGAAAGGGCCCAGGTTCTGAGCTTCGAAGAGGAAGGGAAATTGGGACAGAAGGCCCTATTTAATTCTGTAAACCCGGGGCCCACACGCCAATCACGCCCACGCCACTGATTTCGACAGCCGTGTGTGTGCGCTCTTTTAAACAAATACCCCGTCAACAAAAAGCACCCCCTCCCCCTACCAAGAATCGATCGCAATTGTCACTCGACGTTAACTTTTATAAAAGCGCCCTAGTTCAGCAGGGGTAGCCAACCTGTAACACACCACGAACCAAAAAGTACCCCGTGAGACCTGCAAAGAGCCAAGTGTGTATATATAGACAGTTTTCGGCACAGCACGGGAAACATTCATTATTCGTTGCTGCTGTCATAGGAGTACGTTCGACGTTACACCCCTTCGATAGAGCCACATGCGGTGGACTAAAGAGCCGGATGCGGCTCGGGAGATGCCGGTTGGCCACCGCTGACCTTATTCTTTTGTGTCGCCATCTCACCTTCATGTGATCCAGGAACTGCTGTAGGGTCATGTCCTGTCGCCCATCCACCTCGATCCGATCCCACACATTCCACTCTTTATTGAGATACTGTGGCACACCGAGCACAAGGAAACGTACCAAGGGTGCAAAAAAGTAGGTTTTCAATTGGCGAATATTAAACCTGCTACAACAGATGGATTAGGAAAACGGACACGGCCTAAGTAAAGGAAATACAAGTCGAGGTGTTTGAAACGAATCGTGGAGAGATATTCGCGTGGAATTGCACCGAGGGGCAGACAGAGGAACACACGCACCTCCGATTAGCGCGGTTGTCTACGTACAGGGCGTTCTGAACTTCGTTGTAAGCTTCGATCACGTAACAGGATGGGCTACGAGAAGGCTGACATCCATCCCGTGGTTATTTGGCTTGACCACCTGAATGTAAACAGCTACGGTGACGAGATGTTAACTACCTCGCTTGGTATACAGGAGGTCGTGGATTTGATCCCGACCCTGACGCCTGCATATTTGGAGTTTCATGCTCTCCTCGTGGTCATGTGGATGGATTTTTCTTTGGGTCCAGTTTTTCCCTCCAAGTTTAGAAACATGCGTTTAGGACTTTTTGGCTGCTATAAATTTCAACATAAGCAACTTCGTTGAGCTATCATTTGTGGCCAGGTTGCTTCTGAAAAAGAGCTATATCAGTGGGCCTTACCTGCAAAAAAAATATATATAGTAATCTACATCAGCCGTACGAAAAGAAAGAAGAAAATGCTGATGAGACACCTGGTGAGCTGTGGGTCCTGCAGGATTGACCATCGAGAATTTGCACCTCCCCAGGTCAACGAACGCGTTGTGGAAGTCTCTTTTGTCCCCGCGTGCCTGTGCCACCGCGTACAGCTGCAGGCATACCAGCCCCGCCACGGCCGCCGTGCATGTGGCAATGGCGGGGATGATGTTGCCGACGATCTTCTTGCTCTGTGAAGCGAGCACCGAACACAAAACCGTCGCACGAACTCCAGTCATCCTCGCGGCAGCGGTGACAGTGGCTTTCGGGCTGGCCATCGAACAATGACGGTGGTCACCCCATCGCGAGCTTTCAGATGCGCTTCTGCGGCCGTCTGGAACGCCCTTCCTTTCGGTATTAGGGAGCCATTGGAGCTATGCACTTTTAAATCTAAATTGATAATTCATTCAAGAACTGCTTTTTGTATTGTTTGTTTTCCTTCCCCCGCACCTCTAATTAGCACAGTTGGCTATGTAAGTTTAACATACATACAAAGTGATACTAGTTTTATTAAACCCAGAGGGATGATGGGTTGAGTTAACCTCCCCCCAACCAAGATTTGAACTAATAACCTTCCCGATTGCGAGCCACTCGCTTTACCACTAAGTCAGTATGACAGCATGGAAAAATTGCGTGACTCAGAGTTCCTGGGAGATCCCCTCCGAGTGATGGATGTGAAACCACACCTTGTGTTTGTCCGCTGGGGAGATTCCATATGTCTCGGCTCTTAGGTTGGAAGCAGCAACAATGAAGTTCATGTGATCATCGTCATCCTAAAAACACAGAGCAGCGAGAAAATGGTGCAAACACCACTCGTCTGATTTTGTTCCGCCACGATGTTTGCACGATTTTGCATGATGCAATTTGTTCTATTTGCCCGTCCATGCGCCCGTCACCTGGTCATACATTGAGTAAACATGTCCATTCATCTATTCCATTGCAAGTTAACCCTTTCCCGTTGCAGCTGCAGGGTCGGTGTCCTGTTCAACGCTGAATTTCGGAACGGGCAAGCGCTTCAGCATTAATTCTATTTAGAGAGGCATGACGCCGTTTTTATTAAAATACATTGCACTCACCGCAGAGAACTTTAGCGACACAACTGCACTCTATGATAACTGGCGCCAAACTGTGCCACATGGCCTTGCAGGAGCCTCGGCACAGATAGTTATATTATTTTTTCTTCCGGTTCACTTGGACTGCTAAGAGAAGTCAGTGGCCTTCAGCAGGAATATGTCACTTGCAGGGTCGATGGCCGGTGGCTGAGACTAACAACCTCGTAGCAGCCCAGGACAGGAGCACACCCAAGAGTACGTCTACAGAGGGAGCGACACAAAATTCGGTTGCGAGCCACGGCTAACATCAGCGGCGAGTGATATCTGTACCGGTCTTGTCCTCCCTTGCCTTCATCAAGTCCACACTGACCAGCGTGGTAATGTATGGTAATCAACAACCCCCCATACGCAATTGTACATTTCGGCTAACGTGGCACACAGAACTACTTTCGAGGTGTGAGAAAGCGTGAGACCAAATAAAAAATGGTTCATGAGTCAAATCGCAACCCTGAATTGTGATAATCAATTTAATCGCTGGAAGGGTGAATTGTTAAATCTTCTTGGTATGGATAATACAGCAACAACTATATTAGGGTGGCTGAGCAGATAATTACATCAACAATAGCAGAGTGTTATTGGTGGGTTGCCTCCTTCGGTTTTGTGAATCGGGTGTTGAGTTATTAGTATGGAGTCGTGATGTGAATTGTAAAATGCTTAAGTGCCGATACCACCGCATTGTCACCTTGTCAAACACGAGTGGTTGAATGCCGAGCTGTCCCAGAGATTCATGGGTTGGCAACTCAGCGCCAAGCCCCTCCTCAGACGCCGATCCGTCTGTTGGGTCAGCAAACCGTCACCATCACGCACGTGTGTACAGTACAATGTATTGCGCTCTTTTAATTTTCGCCGCTGTACGATCGCCTCCCCACGCGCCGCACGGGACTGGTTTGACCATGCTTCGCCGAGCCGGTTTCGTTCGGGTTGGCGAAGGCGTTGAGAATAGACAGTGGGGAGCATATCGGTTCATTGCGTCCGATGTCGGAGGACGAGTTCGGTTTGTTTCAGTGGAAAAAGCAAACTTATCGACCTCCTGATCGGCGCTCGGCTGGCTTGGCACGGCCCCAGCATGGCTCGGTTGTGCAGTGGAAAAGAGTTCGAGAAGCGTACCGGTAATCGCGAGTGTCTATATCAGTGTTGTTCATTGCAAGGCCCGTGGGCCACTGGCAGCCCCTGGTGGCCTTTAGTGTGGCCCCTGACGTGTGCCCCCACGCCCTGACAATGCACAAAATGTGGAAACACCCCCCATCAACATCATCATCATAGTGCTGCTGTCAAACCCCAATGGTTTCAAATGCGTGGCGGCCCTCCCACTGATGATGTCTTATCGGCGGAAGTGGCCTCCCCACCCCTTTGAAAATTACTGAAGAACACTGCTCTATATGCTGGTGCACTCTTACCCTCCTGCAGAACTCGCTCCACAGAGGCCCGGTCCGTCGGCGCCGGAAACCCGTACGCACGAGCGTAAAGCTTCGCTGCTGCCGCCACGTAGTCCACGTGCAGGGCCTGTGTTTATACAGAGACAACGATGCCCCGGTACCGCCCTGACCATTGGGGCAAGTGCTGCTAGCGAGCACCGCGGAGTGCCGGCACGGCACGCACGACGGTCGCCTCTGCCTCTTCGGTGCCGACATTTACACACTGCACAAGGTACTCAATCGAAAGGCTGAGTCTGCCTGGGCGAGGCCCAGCGCAGGTTTCAGATATAACTCGCCGCTGACGCGAGCCGTGAATGGAAGTCAAAACTGGGAGTGCCACATTCGTAGTGCCAACACACCCTCAATAATTTAGGATTCTATAATTGTAACTGCTAAACCACGGTCTTATGATCAACCACACTGAGCAAGGGGAGTCTGCAAGCAAGGAGTTCTCGAGTGCTCGAGCGTCTGCTGTTTGTCGGGGTCGCTTGGAGTACTCACATTTGTGTTGCTGAACTCCAGACGCTTGGGGCTGCGTATGCTGGAAGAGGTTTGCTGCAAAGACAAAGAGGCCCTGGTATAGTCTTCAACAGCATGTTGGGGCAACTGCTGTTAGCGAGTCGCACTTATATGAAGGCCGGCACGGCATCCGAGCAAGTGGGTGGCCAATAATATTACGGCCCACCAAACCTTTGTCTCCCTAGTGCCGATGTTTAAGACACTGCATTGGCTATACTCATTTGAGGTTGAGTCGAACTAATGGAGACCCAGGACCGGTTCAGATAATCGTCACTGGTGTTGGCCATCAGCGTGAATTGAACTCAGATCGCTGGGTTCGTGGCGCAGCACACTAGCCGCTGCTCTACCACTGTGCACACATGTACACACACAAGTAAATTATACACATGGTACATTGTCCCATATCCGACTGACTGGAGACTGGGGTATAGGCGGATGGGTGAAAAGGTCAGATTTCTGAGCATTTACAGAAAATGACAGATACACCACTGTGTTACTTCAGTCACACATGGACCCTTGTGATCAATGGCATTCTTTAAAATATCAATCCACCTCGGTCTTTGTTCATGGGACTTATAACGACTCAATGCCCGATTCGGAAACACGAAGAGCGCATCACGACAGCGATGCCTACCTCCGCTACTCCTGACGCAATCATCTGGCTCATTAACCACCTCAATGTGAAATCGCGGTTGTTGCTTTACAAGAGGATGATCTGTGTCTCCCTCTACATCTCTTCCTTTGCTAGCTGCCAGTATCCTTTCTGCCAGAGAGAGGGTGTTTCCGCTTTGCAAAATGTTTGACGAGATTATTCATGGTAATAAACCGCTCGACTAACTATGCGAAATTAAAGAAACCCCATTTGATTTTATTTTAAGAAACTAAAATCCACCCAGACAACGTCATTCTATGATATTATAAGCACAATCGGAATAAAACACATGAAAAAAATGACAAAAACAGGCAAGAAGAGGTAAAGGGAGTGAATGAACAATGCAGCATTGGATGAGAGGCAGCGGGCGTGTGAACTGGTACCGTCATCGTCGCTGGCGGCGGCGCCGGTATCCGGTGGTCGTGGTAGCATTGTAGCCAGCGATGCCGAGCCCACGCCACACACCCCTCCAGGCCGGCGTCGCCTCCACTCGCCTGCCCAAGTGAAAGGGAATGTACCCTCTCCCCAAGAGCCTGCACACTTCTGTGGGGACGTTAACAAAAAGAAAACAATTGGCTGTGTTGGGTGGTGGCAGGTTTAGAACGACACATTTATATCCACGCGATCTAACCCATAAAAAAGCTCTCTTATGGATAATGTTGGTGGTCGCTAAAATCTGTGTTAAACCAAAAAAAGAATATTCAACGTGTACCTGCACAGCTACCCGTTTGTTGTCAATTCTACTGCTGGATGGGGGCCTCCCCAAGCCATGATGGTCGTAGGGCGTTGGGTGGTGATCGCTTGACCGAAGTTCGCCACGCTGGTTGGTGCGGCGGTGCTTGTGAATGTGCGGAGCGGATATCTGGGACCATTCGTATAAGTGCAACGCAATGATCGATTTTTTCCACACTGCCCACCAAGTATTCCTGCCTGCCTGCCTAAAACACCTGTCATGCACAGCAGCCACGCACCTAACTATCCAGGCTCACACACCTGCTTAGCTTATACGATCGTACGGAATGGGGCACATTCTGGGCGATTTGGTCATGAAATGTAATGAATGAACAAGCAAGCAAAGTCACTAAGGGAAAATGGTAAACAACGATAGCTGTTTATATTTATAACAAACCCAGTGATTGCTATATGTGTGTGTGTGTGCAAAACCATAGCTGGACATGGTGCCAGCGACAATGTGCCGTCCTCTAACACCCCCTCCTTTCAGCTGCTGTGGCACCAGCACCACCATTGATTTATTCTTTTACAACATTTCGGTTTCCCATTCAGGCCAGAGGAGTGCCCGGGGCGGCCGCCTTGCCCCACTCTGCCTTGCCATACCCCGCCTTGCCCCACCATCCCACTCTGCCCCACCCTGCCTTGCCATGCCCTGCCATGCCCCACCATCCCACCCTACCCCACCCTGCCTTGCCATGCCCCGCCTTGCCCCACCATCCCACCCTACCCCACCCTGCCTTGCCATGCCCCGCCTTGCCCCACTATCCCATCCTGCCCCACCCTGTCCATCCATGCCCATCCTGCATTGTCCCACCCCACCTTGCCAACACCCAGCCCCACCCTGCCTCACCCTGCCTCACCCTGTCCCGCACCTCCGATTAGCACAGTTGGCTATGTACAGTGCGAAAGAAGTTCAACAAACACTGGTACATACCCTGCCCTTGCTGGGGCACTATGCATGTGTGTGTTCGTTTGCACGTGCGTGCGTGCGAGAGGTAATGATTGTGCTTGTGTAAAATGCCATAAATGCAGAGCCTCTCCACCTACTGGACGCATTCCTTGGCACGTTTCACTTGGACCGCAAACAGCTCCTCAAACTCCTCCTTCGCCCACTGCAGTGGTTCAAGGGGTTTAAAGGATAAGGGGATTAGGGGTGGCAAGCGAGACAGGGATCGAGAGGGCTGCCCCTCACTGACGCGAGACCTGCGAGCGACCCAGTGCCAGATGATCCCAGTAGCAGCACAAGTAGCAAATGTTGCTACGGGCCCCGCACTTTCAAGGGCCCCGCGCTAAATGCTTTCAAGCTATCAATTCCGGTTCAGTGATTCTGCACTTGCTCTATTACTATAGTACTATACTGCCTTCAACTTTTATGAATGACTGGGTGTTTAAGGTTAGCGATTTGTCGCATTATCTGGCTGTGTAGCAAGTGAAAAAATATTATTACTTTACTGTGCAAGTTCCAAATTTGTGTTTTAATATTTGTTTTTTTTATATTTAGGGCCCCTTTATAACATATGCTACAGGCCCCGCACTAGCTTAATCAGGCACTGGAGCTACCCCATTTTCAACGGCACTTCACTGCAGACCATTTTTTTCACGTTTTTGTCCCCAATTTGTATCTGTTTCCCGACTGTGCGAGTGGTGTCACGCTCTGATGTGAGGAATCCATTTGGATATTCCCACACTGCAGTGCAACGTCCCATGTTATAGAATTTGTCCACGGAATAATGTCCACAGAATCACTTCCAAAAGCTGTTCATGTGATATCTTATCGACACTATGACACAGTAATTTCCACCCACCCTGCCACAGAGAGTAATATTTGTCGAATTTAAAAACAAATATGTAAATTTAGCCAACGTGAATGAAAATTCAAATTTAACAAGATTATTTTTTTTGCGTGTGCAGCCATTGTTGACCGAACTAAGACTGTTAACTCAGTACACTTGAGAATCCAGTTAAAACTATAAAATAAGAAACATGTTTTTATTTTACCTGTTAAGGCCCACTGAGCTATACAGGTTTTTTTCAAAAGCAACCTGACCACAAATGATAGCTCAACAGAAGTGGCTTATCATGTGCACATTTATAGCAGATTGTAAATGTAAAAGGGAAAAACCGGAAGACCCGGAGAAAAGTCGACGCGACCACGGGGAGATAAACATGCAAACTCCAAATATAAAGCAGGCGTCAGGGTCGGGATCGAACTCACGACCTCCTGTAGATCAGGCGAGGTAGTTAACATCTAGCCACCGTGGCGACTCCAACCCGGATTCAAACCCAGGAACTCCGCAGTGCCAACTCACCACTCTGATCTCTGGGCCACCTGGTCATCCATAATAATAATAACTTATAAGCTCTCTTATCATTTCCAAGGCTCCAAACAGGCTCCTGACCACTCCTGGGAGCCAACTTCATCAACTAATTGTAACTGTCTTCCAGAAAAGGCTCACCGAATCTTGGCACGTTTCTTTTTAAAGAGAACCTTGCTTGGGATGCTCGGACAATTACGTGGAGACTGTTGTTGGAAGTGGACAGGGACTGGGTAATTTGTCTCAATAGTGTAAAGTCCACATTCCTATGACGGTGGCGAGGTTCCCCGTAGGACAACTACCATTGCAGCAATCCTGTAGGGAGGATGTGCTGAGTCAACCTTTCCACCCCCCCCAACTCTTCCCACATCCAAAATATAAACCAGCAACCCTCAGAATGCGAGCCACTTACCGCTGAACCGGCCGGCCGGATGATGATGAGAATGACGATGATGACGAAGTGCTCATCGTACCTGCAGAGTGTGCGCGGTGGTGCTGGGGTTGCTGCGCACGCTGCACAAAGGGATGGTTTTCTTCCTCGGGTTAGCGACGCAGCCGTAGGACTGCGTGAGGAATGGCACCACCACATGCACGCTGCCCTCCAGCCCCTCCGTGCCACTTTCCAGCAGAGGCTTGCGGTGATTCACGCACTGCCTGTCCACGTACTCTCCTGGGAAGAGATCGCGCACGCTCGTTCGTGGAAGTCGCTGTGGAGGCGAGATGTTAACTACCTCGCCTGGTCGCCGGTTCGATCGCGACCCTGACGCCTGCTGTGTATTTGGAGTCTGCGTGTCTTTCTCCCCGTGGTCGTGTGGATTTTACTCGGGGTCTTCCGGTTTTCCCCTCCACATATTTAATCAATGTGTGTTTAGAGTATTTGGCTGCTATACATTTCCACGTGATAAGCCATTTCCATTGAGCTGTCATTTCTGGCCAGGTCTCTTCTGAAAAAGAGCTACACAGCTCAGTGGGCCTTACCTGGTGAAATAAAAAATAGTTAAGTCAAAATAATGATTTCCTGCTCAAATGAGCAGCATTGAGGCATCTCCTGTTTACAGCCCTGCAGAGCCAGTAGTGGCAATAGCAAATTCCTGTCGCAGGGCTGAGCATATCCACAGGATAACCACTGTTGACTTCCCCACAAATTGGTCATCGTTTTATCAAGCCCCGGAGAGGTGATGGGCTGAGTCAACCCCCAACCAGGGATTTGAAATCACACCTTTCTGATTGCGAGGCAGCTCACACCACCTCGAGCCACCTTGTGGATAAGCTCCACATTTTTTTTTACAATAATAACAATAAAACAATTCACAGTGACCCCAGCCTCCACTCACGTGCTTCGAAATTGTCCAGGGCGGTCGCCACGCCATCCAGCTCGTCAAAGAAGCTCTTGCCAAAAACGGATTCCGATGCCGGACCGACGCTGAGCCTGTGCGGGGTGATGCGCACATCGGGGTTCATCTCGCTAGCGGCGCGCGCCGCCACCTCCGACTTTGGCTTCTGTTGGCAACACCGTGGGCGTTAGGGCACGGGGGCGGAGGTCGCACAGAGGCATGGGCAGGGTAAGCTTCTGGGACGAGCACGTGTTCCGGTGTCCACCAGGGAGGGTTCTCGAACTCCTATTTTCTGGCGGGCCACGGAATAGAAACGAGCGTGTCCTTGCAGGCTGCGCGATGCTATAAGTCACTTGGATGGACATTATGATGTATACTACATGTAGTCTGTCCTCTGTTCACCTTGTGCCATGTAAGGGACAAGCTGCCATTAGGGGATACCCTAGGCAAAAAAAAACGCGCTTTGAGATGTGTAATTTCATTTGGGGTACAATATAAACTTACGTATTACTTTTGTTATTTTTATTATTTATTATTCTATGTGGTTGTGTTGTTTACATGGAATTTTCTGCGTCGATGGCGCAATGGAAAACCAGAGACGTCGTGGGTCTAACTTCACACGTGTCCATCACAAAAGGCACCTTGACATCTCCAGGCCGGAAGAGGAACTGGCGATGCAGGTTGGATCTCTCGATGTTGTCCATGTCGGTCACAGTCACCTCACCCAGTCCCATCATCGCAAAGTTCTTCAGCAGCTCGCAGCCAATGGCCCCAGCACCCACCTGGGACAAAAAGGGGAGCCCTTGCATTGGGTTACGTGGGCATGCATTCAAAGAAATATGCAACCACAAAAAAATACATATATTTACGGCCCTCATCTCACGGAACCAAAGTTGTGTAACGCAAACTGTTAATGAGAAACGATAATTGAAAGTAGCAATCACCCGGCGAGAAGGAGCGTGCAATGGTGGGGTGACAGCAAAAGCTTTTAAATAATAATGTAGAGGAGTAGAGTGTGCAACCATGAGGGAGCGTACACAGGGAGGTGCGAGCGAGTTGACAGCGGAGAATGACGTCATGTCACGGGTGCTGTAAGGGGGGGGGGGGTGCCTTCGTGAAACAAGGGCGGGGCTGAGCTAGGGAGAGGAGCCGCCAAGGGCTACTTAAGGGGGACCCCGTGACGGCGGCGTTGTCGCCGTAGGGAGAGTGAAGTCGTCACCGTTGGCAGAGGAACGAGAGCCTGCATGGACAACATCCCAGCCGCCGCCGAAGAAGGGCTCGAGATGTAGAGGTTTCACCTCGTCGCCGGGCGGTGTTGGATGAACCCCCGCCCGGTGCAGACGAGTGGGGTAGACAAAGGGGAGCCGTACCGGGGCGTAGATAGCTGAAGGGATGTCCGTGTAAAGGACAGAGTTCTGACGTGCGCCATAACGGGTGTAAGCGTCGAGTGCAGAGAGTGCAACCAACCAGTGAGTGTGCAGTGGACAGAGTGTGTAGGAGTGCGAATAAATGGCAAGCAGCCTTAAGTAAGAATCCTCGTCTCCGTCTGGTTCTAAAATTCCCCTTGGTGTCAACAAGTACTACACAACAATAATCAAGTGTTTACATAGCAGCACCATTTATGCAACTGCATCTCACAACGCGGCGTCATCGGCACACGTGGAGGCGCTTAGATTGAGATGTTTTCAGCCAATGAATGAGTATATGGGTTGGCGTATGCGTCTACGACGCGAGATGGTGTCAGCAGCTCCAAGACAACCGTGCGTTGCAAACAAAGCAGGTCACCAATCGGAAAGTCAGCAGTCATGACAGGATACCATCGTCAAGTATAGATCCGTTAACTGTGGCAGCAGGCTACGTCGTTCCAGGTTGGACCTGTTAGCCGTAACAGAAAATGCTGAAATCACTTAAAATCCTCAAAAAAAGTTAAAGCTGAAAACTCACCGCGATGCCGTCACAACGTGCGGTGCGTCGCGAGAGCCACTAAGTGGATCGATGTTGTTTTGATGAAACAAAAGTAGCTTGCGTTTCTTTTTTCTGGGGCTTGCATCTCGATGTAATATTTAAATAACAAGGGTTGTCCCCGACCACCCCCTCTTTTTGTTCAAATTTTCCTCCCTCCCCCTTGAATACATTCTTCCCAATCGTTACCGGCGAGCCCAGATGCTCTCGTTCATTCCCGAATTATGAGGGTGCATTACGCCCGGCCTGTTATACGCTACGTGTTGTCCCTCCCTCATTGTGATGTTCCAACTGCATTCTGGGTCCTTGAAAAAACTTTTGATTGAATGCTTACGAAAAAAATGTTGATACGATCAACTGAATAAACATTTATGAGTTCTTACGGGACTTCCACAGTAAGTGAAGTTATTTCTGATAATCCATGTTATCGCAGTAATGTAGTATGTCCAGCATGGGCCCCCGGTGCAAGGCATGAAATGGCCCCTTGTCCAGTTTACCCTCCCCATTTTTGTAGCCCTGTACCTGGGCCCCCCCCCTTCCCTGTTCCGTGGGCCCCAGTGCAGTCGCCACGGTGGTGAGATGTTAACTACCTCGCCTGGTATGGAGGAGGTCGTGGGTTCAATTCCGACCCTGACGCCTGCATACTTGAAGTGTGCATGTCTCTCTCCCCGTGGCCGTGTGGATTTTTCCCCAGGGCCTCTGGTTTTTCCCTCCACATTTTGGAAAGTACGTTTAAGGGTATTTGGCTGATTTATATTTCCACATGATAAGCCACTTCGTTGAGCTATCATTTGTCACCAGGTCGCTTCTGAAAAAAAGCTGCATAGCTCAGTGGGCCTTACCTAGTAAAATGATTTTTTTTTAGATTAAGTTTAGTTGCACCACCTACACACCCAGATAGTTACCGTCACCGTTCCACTGAATCTTACCAAGAAGTACTTAAGGGAAGCAAGTTTTTCCTGGAATTTCTTTCCAAACACAGCGATTTGGCCATCATAGCGGCTGTCCGTCTGCAAAGAACAAACGCATCAAGGTGCACGGGTGGGGGAAAGGGTGACAGAGTCAACAAACAGATTAAGGGCACGATATGGGTAAGAGTGAGCGATACAAACATGAGCAGTTTGTTATAATAATAATAATGCGAAAGAACTTTAACATACGTACATACGTAGTGTTTACAGGGTCCAGAGTAACTCTTACAACAGTTACAAGGGTGGATACGGAGCTACAGTGGCCGTTCGTATTTTATCACCCGACCATTTGTGCATTCAACACTGACCACGGTTGGCTTAACACCAACCACTCTTGGTTGTCACAATTGCGATAGGCACCGTGAACATTTTTTGAGAACCCCCGAGTGTGGATGACATGCACACACACACAGATAACATACCGGTTTGCAGGCCTCCTCCATGTCCACGGTGCCCGCACACTCATCGGGAAGGCACTTTGCCGCCGAGTAATACATCCACTGATTGAGCGGCATGAAAGAGCCCGTGCAGGCCTAGGAGATGCAGAGAGTTTGCCGCAAACACACGCACAGTTTCAAGTTCACCTCTGCGACCAACTGCAACCCAAATTAATTAAACCTGGGATGTAATCCCATGATAAAAGTAATCGATCACACCACTGATTATCTGTTTCGATTACTCGACTAATCGGATAACAACAGATTAGTGGGAGGGAAAAAAATGGTCTCGCCTCTGCCCCCACGTGTGCCGCTGGACGGGAGGTAACGGACAGGGCTTGATGAAGTTATCACCATTTGTGACACGCTGGGCATGGATTTACACACACCCATAGATAAGGTGAAGCCACCTCTGTCACTGCAAGTGCACGTTAATTAAACTCGGTTAATACGCACGTTAATTCACAAACTATTATTATTGTTGGACAAGACCGAGATATGTGGTAACGTATGGTCGCCCACCAAAGGTGTCCAAAAGTCCTAATCGGCCCTCAGTAAGGAAGAGGTTTTCCCAACCCTGGACTGCTAAATCAGAATCTTTATTTATCCTTGAGCTATCCTATGGAGCTATAAAACTCGTATTCACAGATGTCCAGCAGGGGCTGCTCAGAAAGCTGCAACAGCATACAATACAAAAAAACGATCAGAGCTCAAAGTGTAGGAAAGGAAAGCAAATCACTAAAAATAAATAAGTAAAATAAGTTGAAATTGCCTAAGTACTCCAATTCCCAAGCTTGGGCAAGGCAGGAAAACAACAGCAAGAACATTCACAGACAACTCGCAGTCCCTCAATACAACTGCGCATTATAATTGAACTATCAGTACACTGGTAAGGATAAAAGTTACAAATCACATTTGAAAATGCGCTTGTATCCAGCACTAATCTTCTGCTTCAGGATATTTTTCGAAGGAAGATTTACGATGTTCAGGGACGAAACAAGGTTGTTCCAAAACGTTGGTGCTGCAACGGGGAAAAAGCTTCGTCATCTATTCCTAAACCCTGTTCTTGGGATAGTTAAAAGGCAGTCAGATGGACGCCTGCAGGCAAACGAAACGTATGCACCTTGATGACCTCCTGCGCGGCGACCCCACCGATGAAGCTGTTGAGAGGAGCCAGGTCTCCCTGGGCCGTGAACGCCAGTCGTCGCACCAGCCCCTCCTGGAGCTCCACCCCCACCTCCACCCCCAGCTCCACCTCTGCACTCTCCTTCACAACCTCGTCCGCGTCAGCCTTGGGGCAGAAGGGAGCGGCAACAACGCGTTGGTTTATGTCAAGATTGAGACGGTCCCCTTCAGTCCTGTGGCGTCGAGGTGGGGGGGGGGGGGGGCAGGGAGAGGGGCACCATGGTGCTGAAATGTTAACTACCTTGCCTGCTTTACAGGAGGTCGTGGGTTCGATCTCGACCCTGACACCTGTATATTTGGAGTTTGTGTGTCTCTCTCACTGTGCTCGCGTGGATTTTACTCCGGGTCCTCCGGTATTACCCTTCACACTTAAAATTAACATCACGCTTTTAGGGTATTTGGCTGCAATAAATTTCCACAAGATAAGCCACTTCGTCGAGCAATCATTTGTGGCCAGGTAGCATCTGAAAAGCTATATATATAAAAGGGAAATATGTGAATATGTGCGTCTGTTCGAAATGTTTAGCATACTTCCCGACATGCAACAAACTTTCAATTTGGCATGTGGGTAGCTTCCAGACTGTACACAATGCAAAAAGTATAAAAACAGACTTTTGTATTTTGGGTGGGGGGGGGGCGCAATAATGGCTATATTTTGCACGGCAAGTGAGCGGTGACGTCACATCTGTGATGTCACCCACATGCGGCAGCGTTATGCAGCGTGCCTGCTGACGTCACGCATCACCCCCCCAGCCCTCCGTGTAGGCCGTCTATTAATCCAAGACAAGAATCCAAGTCCCGGGTGAAACCGGGTAGTAAAGCTATGCAGCTCAGTGGGCATTACGTTATAAAATATAGTATATCGTTTTATAGTTCATAGGGGGGCTTAGCGCCCCTCCCCCTGGCTCCCCGCCCTGCTGAGGGCTCAGCCTCCCTTTTTATAAACTTTTCTAAAAATGTCAAATCATAAAAATACCTTCCAGCCCTTCTCAATCCGCCAGCAGATGAAGGCCTCCCCACGCCATGTCGGTTTGGCTTTTTTTTTACCATACTTCACCACGCTTGTCAGTGCAGGTTGCCGCATGGAGTATTGGTTAAGGCGGGTTTGGGCACCGCTCGCCACTGATGTTGGCTGTGGCCAGGAATCGAACTCGGGTGGCCGGGTTCATAGCACAGCAGCGCGCTTACCACTGTTACCAATGTAACACCACTCCACTCAACATTCTTCAAAAACATTTTTATTTTATTTTATTTTCCCAGGTAGCTCTTTTTCATAAGCGATCTGGCCACAAATGATCACTCAACGAAGTGGCTCATCACATGGAAATGTATAGCAGCCAAATACTCTAAACGCATGTCGATTCTAAATGTGGTGGGAAAAACCAGAGGACATGGATAAAAATTCAGCAAACCATAAGGAGAACATGCAAACTCCAAATATACCGGCGTCAGGGTGGGGACCGGGAAGTGGGGGCGGGGATGACGCTGATAGCACCGTAACTGGGAGGGTAAAAATAATCGGGAGAATAATAATAATGATGATGGTGATGCGAGAAGATGAGGCGAGCGACTTGCGTGCGATTGCCGCACGCACCTGGTTGTGCGGGCGTGGCGAACGGTTCTGCTTTTGCTGAAACCTGTGCAGGGCCTGGAAAGCTTTGTGCAGGGTGAGGGCCACAGTCTGGTCGCATCCCTCCTGAAACCTGGGCCTCACCAGAGCTTCTTGCAAAGGCAACTGCACAGGGGACAGACAAGGACAACACTCTGAATGCGATGACGCTCAAGTGATCACTCGTAGGTTTGTGTTTTAACTCATTCCGATTACTTATGTGTACGTCATCTATCGTAGAACGTGGTGGTGTCGCTAAAGTTCTCTGCGGTGGGTACAATGTCTTTAAAAACAATGGCGCTACGCCTCTCTAAAAAAATATAACGCTAACCGCTTGCACGTTCCAATATTCAGCGGTGAACGGGACACCCACCCTGCAACTTGCAGATCTCTCGGAACGGGAAAGGGTTAACGTTTGTTATCTTAAAAATATATATTAAAGCTGCAGTAGGCTTGTGTTGAACGCTGAAGTTAAAGCATGCTCTTTGTTAAATTTAAAAAAAATGGTCCATTTTTGCAGAGCCTTTAAACCGACATTAGAAAATTCACCGACATTAGCCATTGCCTGGAATCGAACTCAGGTCGCCAGGTTCGTAGCCGCTGTGTGGTATACACTGCGCCACCACTCCACCCTTACATGTTAAATAATGTATATATGAAATAAGCTCATTGATGGAAATACGACCTTCCTGAATGCCCTTGTAACATATGGTCTCGACTTTGGCAATGTCCTGTACGTGGGTCTTCCACTGTGTCGAGTTAAACTACCGCAGAGCATTCAGGACTCCTGTGCACGACTTTTTAACCGACTGGTCGTTTTCGTCGGGACCCAATCTCCCAAACTTTCATGTACCTACACTGGCTTCCAAATGAGCTTCTTGCACAATTAAAATTACTGTGCTTGATTCACAAAGCACTCTTCCAGCATTTTCCTTAAATATTTGACCGATAAACTGCAGCTTTACAATCCTTCCAGGAGTTTGAGGTTCTCACACTCCGTGACCGGGCTCCTCTGTAAGCCACACTTTCGGAAAAAAAAACATTTCGGAGCTCCGGCTTTTTTGGTCCTTGGCTCTCAGATTTGGAACGCTCTGCCTTGTAGAACTGCAGAGATACTCCCAATTAGAAAGAAACTAAAACTGTACTAATTTCCTAGGATATGTCAGGTGAACTGGAGATGTATTATATTTTACCACATGGCGCTCTGAAGCCCTTTTGTTGGGTCTACTGCACCTTATAAAAACGTAATTAAAAATAAACTTACAAACTTGATGGTCTGTGGAATGTTAACCTTGATTGCTTCCCCTCCTTCGGTATAGTCGGACAGGTTGCTGGTGTCTCCAACACTGAAGGATTTGTCATCTGTTCACATCACACACGAGACACGATGGCTAAGGCATTGGCAAGGAGAACCCGGAGCTCACGGTGTAGTCATGGAAAATCCTGAACTTGAATATAAGGTCCGTGAAATCTCGGAAACGACGGTAGAAACACAATTGGCCCGATGCTCCTTTTCAAAATAGCAGTACACCATGCACTGAAAATACAAATCTGTACCGCGACCGTCCTATTCTATACAGCTAAGTAGATTATATTTATCTTAGCCTAACTTACATATAATTTGCATTATCCGTGGTTTTGTTTTGTCTGGGGTACATGGGCTTCCCCCCCCGATCACCCAGGATAATTGAGAGTTGGCTGCACAGTATTAACCTGCTCATCATACTCAGAACCAGAACCATCCCGGCCGAGTGGCATTTCTCCGCAGCTTCACCAGAAGCCATCGGGAACTCTCTCCCACTGCACTAGCACTGCATCCAATGACCACCCACCTTTAAGTAACAGCTGAAGGTTCATCCGGTTCAGGTTCTCACCCTGTTCAGGTTCTCACCCTGTTCAGGTTCTCACCATGTTCAGGTTCTCACCCTGTTCAGGTTCTCAAACGGTTCAGGCTCTCACCCATCCAGGCTCTCACCCATCCAGGCTCCGTGCCTCTGAGTTCTGGATCAAACTTTGCATCCCGATTCCCGAAATATGCGCGCATTATAAATCGTGTTTGTTATTATTGTACAACTAAACTTGAAACATTTACACAAAGCACAATCACAATGCATATATGCTGTTTTCTGTGATCACCTATGGGTGAGTGTCACAACTAGGCAAGAACTTGACTGCACCTGGCTCTCCAAACCAGACCGTGGAGTAGCCGCGTCCATGGGCTGCGTTTACGTATGTATGCAGGTTGAACTCCTTCCGCGCCAAAAGTGCGTAAAGCGAAGCTCCCTTACCGATGACCGTAACAGTGCGGGGTCGGCAGCGGTTGAGCTCCGTCATGCCTCGCACGCCGGAGAACACCACCAGGTCCCCGTTCTCAAAATCGTGGCCCTCAGCCTCCGCACACGTCACCACACCAAGGCTCTCCTATGGTGGGAAAGAGCCCACCCCAGTGAGCCAGTGTTAGCAGAGCTACAGCGAGACTATGTGATTATTTAATTAATCGAATTACTCGACCGATTATCGGTTCGAATGCTCGACTCGTCAGATAACACAAAAAATGGCTCCAATTGCGTTGATGCTGAGGTGGCGTGGGCGGGGATTTTCGAGGGGGTTTCCTGCCTTCAGGAGGCAAGGTGACAGGGGAGGCTGCTGTTTTTATAGGGGCCCGTGTACCGTATTGTCCCGCATATAACCCGCGGGGTATACCACTTTTTACAAACAAAACAAGACCCTGCGGGGTATAAGGAGGTGCTGGCTAGCCCAAAAATATTTTACACGTGTGACATGTCGTAACTCGTAAAAAAATTTCATGGTAGGACTATCCACTATGCAACACTTACCTTTGACTAAAGCACTGCTGAATAAACCACTCACACTAAAATTGCACATGTTATCACGTTTTAAATGAATTGTTTGTACAATTAAACAACAATGATTGAAGTGCCCGCACTGTTTACTGACGACTGGAGAGCTGGGGGGAGAGAGGTGGGGGTTGGGGGGTGGGGCAGCTGGGGGGAGAGAGAGGTGGGGGTTGGGGGGTGGGGCAGCTGGGGGGAGAGAGAGGTGGGGGTTGGGGGGTGGGGCAGCTGGGGGGAGAGAGAGGTGGGGGGTGGGGCAGCTGGGGGGAGAGAGAGGTGGGGGTTGGGGGGTGGGGCAGCTGGGGGGAGAGAGAGGTGGGGGTTGGGGGGTGGGGCAGCTGGGGGGAGGGAGAGGTGGGGGTTGGGGGGTGGGGCAGCTGGGGGGAGAGAGAGGTGGGGGGTGGGGCAGCTGGGGGGAGAGAGAGGTGGGGGGTGGGGCAGCTAGGGGGAGAGAGAGGTGGGGGTTGGGGAGTGGGGCAGCTGGGGGGAGAGAGAGGTGGGGGTTGGGGGGTGGGGCAGCCGGGGGGAGAGAGAGGTGGGGGTTGGGGGTGGGGCAGCTGGGGGGAGAGAGAGGTGGGGGGGTTGGGGGGTGGGGCAGCTGGGGGGAGGGAGAGGTGGGGGTTGGGGGGTGGGGCAGCTGGGGGGAGAGAGGGGTGGGGGCGAGGCGACGCGTTACCGTAGTGCCGCTATTGTCTGCGCAGTGCTCAATCTGCCAGTGCTAAAACTGTACTTATCTACCAGTTATGTGTTACTTATTTATTGGATATTTACTTTTGTTACTTATTTACTGTTTAAAGTTCACTCGTTTCCGGTTAGTTTGTTTTCTCATTATGATTTTAATGTTAACAATTGATAGTGGAATGTATTACAAATGTAAATTTCGTATTAATATGATGGAATTAAGCTGCGGTAACGAGGTTCAAGATATGAATGCATGCGGGGTATATGGAGGTGTGGGTTATCTGAATTTTTTTTACACAAAACGCTATTTTTGCCGGGTATATGCGTCTGCGGGTTATATGCGTATGCAGGCTATATGCGGGAAAATACGGTAATTGAGCATATCAAGCAGTCCATTACAGATTCATGACTTATTACTCGTCTTGATCGCAAGATGCTCATCTCAACCTCTCTCTCAATGCTTCCGTCTCTCTCTGTCCTGTATCCATCTCCCCATTAACTCTTCTCTCACTCTTTGTCCTGGATTCCATCTATAACTATTCTCGAACCTGAAGACGTTTTGTTGTTCAGGAGGGTTTTGTATATTGAATCATTTGGCCAATTGCTTAAAGAGTGATTTTCTTATTAGTAGTTACAGCCACGCTTTACTACTGCATGAATTAATTGGTCAAAGTGATGGCACTGCAACTATATATTTTTAATTTAATGTAAAAACAACTACTTGAGTTCATCTCTACAGACTGGTGATTGCAGCCTCCCATACCTTGCTGATGGATGTGACGGTGGAGGTGATAGTCTTTCCAGTTGGGTCCACCACAACAAATTCATCTCCAAAATCACAAAATATTTGCCTACAAATGACAAAAAAATAATCATCACCAAAACCACAATCATCATCATAAATATCCGCAAAGAAGTAGATTGATTTTTTTTCACATTGAAATACATCTCAAGGCAGAAGCAACCCATTGTGTGTGACAATGTCAATGTCACACAATTTTTACTTTTTTGTTCTCCTTCCCCGCACCTCTGATTAGCACGGTTGACTACATACGGTGCGAAAGAAATTCAATATACACACATACATACGGATAGTCCCGCTGTAGCTCTGCTAACACATACTTCTTTCGCACCGTACATAGCCAAACGTGCTAACTGGAGGTGCAATGGCACCAAACGCAACTATGCTCGCAAGAAATTAACGCCACACATTCGTCAATGACACTGCGGTCTTCAAAGAATAAATATATTAGGGTTGACATTTTCTATTCTTAAAAGCACATTGCCCAAAATGTCACATGTATTTATTTATATGGCCACGGTGTTATTGGTGAATGTGTTCAGTGTTTTTGTTGGTTGTGTTGTACTTGTGCTCAAATGCCATTGCAGCAGCAGCATCACTAAATATTTTAATTCACAAGAAATGGTTTGCTTTGTTATGCAACAGGCGTAAGAACAATTTGCACCAAGACACCATCACACTTGCTGTGACGGAGAATTCCACTTGGAGAGCCCGACTTGTCCGCGACTCCGATTACTGCCACTTAGTCACAGTTCACATATATTTAAATGGGTTGGAATACACGTCTTGTGTTTATTGCAACACATATTTACACATTAATTCAAACTATTAAGCAAAGTAAGTGGGCTTGGCTAAGGTACATCACTGAGAAGGGATGATAGTCAATGGTCAAGAATAATAACCGAGTGGCAGCCAAGGAGCGTAACATGTCCGAGGTTAAATCCGCTAAGGAGATGTAGCAATGAAATCAGTACATTATGTAGGTGCTAGTTGGATTGGTTTGTTGTTTACTTATAGGGGAAAACATACTAATTAACGGATTACTAACGTAACGTATAATCACAATAACACACATTACAACTAATTACTAATCTACAACTCATTACTAATCATAACCATTGACTGATTACCAATCGATTATATAATTACAATACCCCCCCCCCCCCCCCCCGCCTCAAATCACTGCACCTGAATGAGTTAAATGATGACGTCACCCTGCTGCTCTATTTAAGACCGGGAGCAGGTGAGGGCTTTACCATTCTGGCGAATTGGCCGATGATGCTGGATGTAATTACCAGCGAAACGTCGTACTCAAATTTTAAATGATGTTGATTCACTCTTCAACACACCGGTGGGCTAAAGTAGTGAACTATTTGTCCTTTGTAAACGTGACACATTTTTTCCTGTTTGGCCGGAGTAGGGTAGTGGAGGGTTACGACACATTTATAAGTAACGCGATCTAACCCAAAAACCTTTATTATGAATTATGTTTACTTATCCTCAGCAGGCCCCAATGCATTCCCAGATGCCCTGCCTGAGTTGAACGATCTCTTTGGGCTGGATGGTCCAGGCAAGAGGCAAGGGTGGGCAGTCGTGGCTTGCACTATACAAGCTTGTTTCATATACAGTAGTCCCTCGGTTAATGTTTTTAATTTGTTCGAAGAAACTACTGTCAACCGAAATTACTTTTAATGGCATAAAGAAATTACATGTTTAAAGTATGAATCCGTTCCAAGACGATCTCAGATTGATATTTTTGACCGTTATAACATAGTTTATATTTTATTTCCACTGCCAAAACAGAAAACATAATTTAAACAAATCCAGTCGCGGTCAAAACGTTCATAAATGGGCTTCATTTATTGTCTGAGGCATGTTCAGCCCACTTACGAGCGCTCGGATTGGCCAAATTGGCACCCGCGTGCATAACATAAACATATCGTTAAATCAACATTTTTATATTATTCAAAACCATGGGGTCCTATGGGAGGCGAAACGTTAACTGGAAGATCGTTAACCGATGTTACTGTTAACCAAGGGACTACCATATACACCATGCTTGGTTGTAATGGCTCAACAATGAGCGACGTTGTTGAAAAACTGATTTTTTTCGGGTTATGCACAACGCATTGCAAAACACCGTAGGACTGTCATGTGCCCATCGCGTTACAAACATCTCAGAGCGCAGAATTACTCGGCAAGAGCCGGAGGACACAGGATTGACCGCGCAAGGGAAGGAGATAAGTGAATCAATTAAGGGGGTATGAAGACGTGGTTGAAGAGGAAGGTTTTAGGAAACAGTTTGAAAGCAGCGAGCAAGAAGAGCCAGGTGCGTGCGTCCATGAAAGTTTAGTGCAGCAAGGTCTCACTGCTTCACATCAGCCGAGTGGTACATATGTTCAACTTCTTTCACACTGTACGTAGTCGACCGTGCTAAAGCGGAGGTGCGGGGGTGTTGCCGTTGGCGGTGTGGGGGTTACCCGAACAGGCCACGGGTGCTCGCGATGATGAGTTTGATGCCATGGGCGCGACAGAAGCTCCCAATACGAAGCTGCTCACTCAAGGAGGAGTTGGTGAGAACCACGACCTGCACCAATCAGCAGACAACGGACATCATGTGGAAAACGTTGGCCCAAAGCCTGATAGATTCACTTGTTGGGTTTTTTATGTGGTGTCTGTTTATTTATCATTTACTACCCATAATCCTCCACGACCGTGATGCACACTGTCGACGGGAGCCCCCAGACCAAACTCTACGTTGGTCTCAGGGCCGCCGCCCCCCCACCACCCCCTCCTCCCCTCCTCCACGCTGCCGACGAGGCGGCTGTTGCCCCAACAATGAAAAAATACAGCTGGGATTGTCTACACCAGCGACATGAAATCTGCCGTTTGTCCTTTCAAAATGGGAGCGGGGGGGTTCTTCACCTGGAACTGCGAGAGAAACTCCTCCGTGAGCGAGTCGCTGTAATCCGACACACGCACAAACTCGTTCAGCTGCTTCAAGTGGGACTGGGACAGCTGAGCACGATTCCTTTTCAGATCTTCCTCCCGTCCATAAAACTGCCAGTGCACAGAGCATCCGCGTCAATACAAAGATTATTTTTAAACTGGGATTCCAAAGTGGAAGCATGAACATTCCTTTCCACTTATACGTTCGAATACAATGGTCGTTCATGTAAACTCGTGTTCATCATTGCAAGGCTTGCAAGGCCCTCGGGCCACTGGTGGCCCTTGGTGGCCTTTAGTGTGGCCCCTGAGGTGCAGCCCTGACAACACGCAAATATGAAAACACACTCCTTAATCATCGTGCTGCTGTCAAACCCCAATGGTTTCAAATGTGTGGCAGCCCTCCCACTGATGATGTGTTTTCGGCGGAAATGGCCTCCTCTCTGAAAATTAGTGAAAAACACTGGTGTAAACGCTACAAAAAAACTAAAAAGAGTGTGCAAAAAGCATGGAGATGCATACTGCAATTATCCGAATTACACCGAGGGACAAAAAGAAGAACGTATGGATGAGAGAACATACGCTGATTAATGACACGATTCGTACTTTTAAGAAAAGGTGGTTGGTTTGGCCAGGGCATGTCGCTGGAGGGTTGATGGCGATGGTAAACAATAATAATGGAGGCGTGGCCAAAATAATGTTCACCAAGGATGTCCACAGCTATGTCGATACTTGTACCGGAAGGGGGCCTTGTCAGTAAACTACTGCTGGGATAATTGGTCAATTCATCCGACTAAAAACGTAATTGGCTACTTTTTTGCATTCAATTTACTCGGGTTCCTTAATAATGGTGCCTACCCCCATATTCTGCTTCTGGAAGGTGGAAAACCTGCAACAAATATGCCCAGCACGATGCATCTGACGGTGGTTCCGATAACCGGACACCTCTGCTCCACCCCCAATGCCCTCCTCACCTGTGAGGAGAGGTCTCTCCTGGCGAGTGGCTGCGTGTCGTGCACCGTCACCGTCCCTACACCGACCAGCACCACGTTCTTAGCGACCTCCAGTCCGAGGCCATGCATCCCGCTCACGAGCACATGGGCCTCCTGTATCCGCCGCGTGGCCTCGTGCCCCAGCACGTACCTTATGCAGAGGAGCGGCGCGACAGCAATGCAACATCAGCAGGCGCTGCGCCCACCTCGAGGCACGTTTACAAACCGACAAACCCAACAGGTGGCCCCCCAGGTGGCTCAAGAGCCATGAGCCTGCTTCGATCGTCGTTGCACTGCTGCGATTGTCGGTTTGAATCCGAATTTCATCCATCATCATCATATGTTCAATCACCATCCCTAAACATGTAACGTTGGGCCAACGTTGGCATGTGGTTGGAACCATTGGATCAACATTGATTCAACACTGGCCTGAAGTTCCATATTTAGAGTTACTGCAGCACAAAGCACTTCCCTTTCGGCTTCTTCCCCCTACACTGCTTGACTTTGGAATTCTCTCCGATCGTCTCTTTTCCCTCTGCTTGTTCTTGCTGGAGGCTTGATATTTTGCAGCTTTGGGCCTATGCTAAGCATGCATGAGAAAAGTTAACTCATCACCTCTATAGACGAAGGTCTTTCCAAGCTGTCGCCATAAATCACAGTCACAATGTGATGGAACGATCCATATAACGCCTGCACACGAGCTGATTTTACTGCACCATGTCCTCTCCTTTGGCTGTTACTCTGACGTCCTGTTAACCCTTCTAGCCATGCATCCTGACATTTAAATGGGAGCTTTTTGCAAGTATTCTTTTGCCAGTATTGATAGTGGCAAAAGGTCCCACTTTGTAGCTGCTCACCCCGAGTTATAAAATGCTCTGATAGTGGCATTGTCTTTGTACTGTCTGATAGTGGCATTGTCTTTGTACTGTCTGATAGTGGCATTGTTTTTGTACTGTCTGATAGTGGCATTGTCTTTGTACTGTCCGCCTTTTGGCGTTCTCTGGTCTGACACTGGTGAGACTAGGGTCTAAAGAAGGCTATCTCTGGTGTAGGCCAATCAATTCAGAGACAATGTCATATATTACTAGAGCATGTTTGTTTGCATGTTCACCACAAGTACGTGTGGCTAATGCAGTACTTGATTCCGTGCAAAAAGTTTATATTTGGTGCTTGAACATCTGAACACCTTTTATATTATATTCTTGGTTCTTTCGGTAAAGTCACGTAGAAGGGAAACAATATTTGTATTATTTTTTTGTTTCCCTTCTACGTGACTTTAACCAAAAGAACCAAGAATATGAATCTCTGCAGTCACGAAAGCTTTAAATCAAAATTTAACCTTTTATATTGCCAGGAAGGGTAAATCCTATTCTTATTTTTTCATACATCCTGCCCATGCTCACTTTCCTAATTCAAAATGCCGTCTCTAACTTTCGTATGTTACCTAATCCACGTGTTACTTTTCTTCCCTCGCAGTTTAATGCATACCATTAAGCTATGCACTTTAAAAGTTGTTTTGCATTTTATTTGGTAATGTCCATATTTCTGATCCACATAGCAGGTAGTACATTAATCAAAATAATTAAATACTTCCAAATCCATGCATATGCATACATTTTCTTCCTTGCTTTGTAAGATGTCCAGGGTAAAAGCAAATACTCACAACTGCCTGGAGAAATATTCTTCATCAATATCTTCAATATTGACAGACATGTTGACCTGAAATTTAAAAAAATGGCATTAAGTTTAACATCATGGGGCAACTTCAAGTGATGGTGCAAACGACTGGGCTCCCGCTCGCTCAGAATGTGTGTCAATGCTGGACAGCCACTTGTGGGTTTTTTCAGACATGGAACTGAAAAAGCCGATGATCACATACCTGTCAACCCCTTATCAGTGCCTACCTTATTACAAACCAATTCAGACCTCATTGGTCAGCCCGTGCCCTCATAAATCTCAAAGTTAATCCTACAAAGTCCCATCATAAGGGAGAAATACAAAGAAATAGACAAAACATGCGTTTTTACTCAATTTGGGTTGATAGGCATGTGATCATTGCAACCAATCCATGTTAGAACGTTTGTATCAAAGCAGGGCTTCTGTACCTACAGCCAACGTAATCATACTCAAATGATTTACTTTACTAGCTTCTTTGGCCGCCCATGGACGGAAGCTGTAATATTTACGAAAAAAATTGAGCACAGTATAATTGTATTTTGTGTAAATTTAATGGCAGTGAATCTGGCACAAAACGATGTCATAAAACACTTTACTGCATTTCACTGTAGCACAGTATATAACTGACCTTAATTTGTTCAAAGTCACTGCTCTAATACTTTATTCTATTCCGCTTTCGGTCGCTGGGGTTCAAATAAATTGGAAATCGATACAATATCTGGAAAATCACCGAGAAATGTCTATTTTACCATAATGTAGACTCATAATTTGGACTTACCTTTTGTCTCAAGTTCTGAAGAAATAACGACACCAAATCCACTTTGTTGCTGCGTAGAATTATTTAGATTAACTTTCAATAAAGATACGTCAAACTTAAAGCGAATTTGCTAAAAAATATATATTTCCGCTCGACCTTCTGCTGATGGGGGGGTGCCTCATGTGGAGTGACGTCACGCGAGGGACATTCTTGGCTCATTATAGTAGAAATATACACATAGCCCCTACTATGCGCAGGTGTGTCTCAAGAGAGCTTTTTTTGACATCACATCTCACCAACAATACATTTAAACCACAGCAAGAAATTTTGAAAAAAGTGGTTTTCACACCTGATGATGATTGCTTGTGTTGCAGTCGAAACGTCGTGTTAATTTTATTGTTTTATTATTTTATTGTTTCCCTTCGACGTGACTTTACCGAAGGAACCAAGAAAATGAATCCCTGCAGTCACGAAAGCTTTAAATCAAAAGTATGGAAACAGTAAAATGTTTGTATTTCCAAACATTTGCATAATCTCCCACCGATCCCAATACGCTTACGAACTCTTTATTATTCGCACTCTCCTGTCGTAAAACACAGCAGAGAGCTCATCGCCTGTCACAGTCAATACGTCGACTCCATCGCCTTGCTGATAGCCAAAACGAGGTGGGTTAAGTTCGAAACCAGTGGGGTATCTATAAATGGATCAGCATGCAGTTTTATCGCGAGCACTCACCTTGTGACGGTATTGATATTGATGATGATAATGATGGTATTGATGATGGTGATGGTATTGATATTGATGGTGATGGCAACGATATGTGGGATGCTGTGTGAATGACGCTATACAAAATTAAATTATTATTCTATTGATGATGGATGCATTTTGATGACGGTGATGATGGTAATTATTTCGACGATAATTGGTGGTGGTGACGATGATGATAATGAAGTTAACGATTATGTTAATGATGTTGATGGTGGCAATGTTGATGGTGGTAATGATGTTTACGATGATGGTAATGATGTTGATGGTGGTAATGATGTTTACGATGATGAGTTTGATGGTGGTAATGTTGATGGTGGTAATGAAGTTGATGATGATGGTAATGATGATGGTGGTAATGAAGTTGATGGTGGTAATGTAGTTGATGATGGTAATGATGTTGATATTGGTAATGAAGTTGATGATGATGGTAATGATGTTGATGGTGGTAATGAAGTTGATGATGTCCAGAGAGGTCAAAGGAGACGTGATCAGCCTCTGGAACTTGAGAACATGCCGAGTGTTATATCACAGAGAGAGAGAGAGAAGGATGTGTTTTGCTTTCGCTTCCGATCGCCTCCCCGTGACGTCTCCCAACCCCTCCCCCACCTCGCGTCGCTTCCCAGAAGTGATGCGGGGGTGCCGAATTACTGGATCTGCGTTCGTGCCCGTCAACACCTTATTACAGACCAAGTCAGGCCTCATTGGTCACCCCCGTGCCCCTATAAATCTCAACGTTCATTCCACAAAGTCCCACCACAAGGGAGAAAAACAAACAAATAAAAAAATTTGCCCGTTTTGAAACGGCTGTACGCCGTACGGACCTGCAGACTCGATTTCCCTGGACAAGAATACGGGTGAATCGTATGGGTTGACAAGTATGTTCATTCACTGACAAGGATACAACAGCCCCTATAAGTTACATAAGGGGCCGTCCATAAATGACGTCACGCACCTAGAGGGGGGGGGGGGTCAGACATTTGTGACGATGTGTGACGAGGGGTGGGGGATTTGAGAAATGTGACGTCACATCAAAATGCGCAACTTTAAATAAATATAGACAACACGTTCTACTTGATTAAATCGACTTTTTAATAAATGTTTTCTCCTACAACATCAGAGTGCAGCGCCACATTAAATACGCACTACAGTGACAATATTCTTAGCTCATTCGGTGAAGTCACGTTGAAGGGAAACAATAAAATAATAAAATATATAACAATAAAAATTCTCACGACGTTTCGACTATAACACAAACGGTCGTCATCTGATGATCTGATGACGACCGTTTGTGTTATGGTCGAAACGTCGTGAGAATTTGTATTGTTTTATATATTTTATTATTTTATTGTTTCCCTTCAACGTGACTTTACCGAAAAAGCTAAGAATATGAATTACTGCAGTCACGAAAGCTTTAAAACAAAATTTACAGTGACAATAGTTTAAAGCGATCTGAAGCATGTTTTATTTGGGGGGGGGGGGCAGAGCTTTGTGACGTCATATTTGAGGGGTGTCTGACTTTTTTGTGACGAAGGGGGGGGGGGGGTCCAAAAATGTCCAAAATCACGTGACGTCATTTATGGACGGCCCCTAAAGGAAAAAAAATCGGAGGACCCGGAAAAAACACGTGGATCGAAACCACGACCTCCTGGATACCAGGCGAGGTAGTTAACATCTCGCCACCGTGGCCACGTTCGCGTGTAGGTCATGCGGGCTGAAGCAGATAGCAAGTGGACAACTCCCTCTGTCGGATGTATATAATGTGTGCTCTTACACAGGTGGGACGGACACGTTAGGCGTTCACAGGACTGCAACTTTACTCTGCTTAATCAGTAAGGATAGTCATGGCGCCACATCGCGAGATGTTAACTACCTCGCCTGATGTACAGGTGGTCGTGGGTTCGATCCCAACCCTGACGCCTGCTGTATATTTGAATTTTTTATGTCTCTCTCCCCGTAAAAATGTTAACTACCTCGCCCGGTATGCAGGAGGTCTGGGGTTCGAATCCGATCCTGACGCATGCTGTATATTTGGAGTTTGCGTGTGTCTCTCTCACCAGTGCTACAAAGCCACTTCGTTGAGCTATCATTTGTGGCCAGGTCGATTCTGAAAAAGAAGCTAATAACTCAGTCTGCTTTACCTGGTAAAATAAAAAATAGTTATTGCTTAATAGTTTAATCTGGATTCTCAAGTGTAGCGAGTTAATAGTCTTGAGTTTGGTCACCAATGGCTGCACACATAGTGTACGTTTATTTGTTTTTAGTAATTTGCTTACCTTTTCTATACTTTGCACTCCTATCGTGGTTTGTATTGTTGTCGTAACTTTCTGACCCGCCTCTACTGGACACGTGAAAAATAGCTTTATAGCTCATTGGTTTTTTCCAGTGTAAATACATTTTTTGATTCTGCTTTTGAAAAATATATATCTATACAGCGTGGTAAAGAATGGTCAAACAACCCCCACGACTGACAGATACGGCGTGGTGGGATAAAAACTTCACATCCAAAAGTGTATGACAAAAAAATTGATGTTAAGGGGGATGGCAACGCATCCGAGAGGGAAGCCCAAGTCGGGGAGATGGAGTAATGAAATCAGATTGTGTCCAGTTGGCTGGGTAGGTTTGTTACCACGCAAGATAGTCGTGGTGGTGAGGGGTTGTATTGATCTTCACCGATGAATTGAAATATACAGGGTGATTCATTTATAATAAGACAGCTCCCCGATTCACGAACGGGAACAGTTCCTGAGCCGCGTTCGTAAATCGGACGGTTCGTAAGTCGAGCACTGTGTTTTTTCACTGCACTGAATTCCCCTCTTCTCAACAGGTGCCTGATGAGTAACTGCTCTGTATTGTGAACGAATGCGTAGTATATCACACAGAGGCATACATGCCAACCCCTTATCAGTGCCTCACTTATTACAGACCTATTTCGGACCTTATTGGTCAGCCCCCGTGCCCTTATACATTTCAAAGTTCATCCTACAAAGTCCCATCACAAGAGAGAAACAAAGAAATAGACACTTTTTTGCCCGTATTGAAACGGCCTTACACCGTATGGACCTGAAAACCCAATTTCCATGTACAGGAAAGAATACGGGTAAACCGTATGGGTTGACAGGAATGCAGAAATGTTAAAATTACATAAGTTAAATGAGATTGCAAGGCGACGGTCGAGACTTTTAAACACAACGTTGTTTTTCTCTCTGCAGCTTATTTTTTTACGTATGCACATATATTATTTGAACGGGAGTTATCCACACATGATGATGGGTCGCTCTGTTGAAATAACCGCAAGACAGGCCGGCGATTGTCCGTGTGGAAGTCACATGACGTGCCCGAGTCCCAGCCCACCTGGGCAATGACGCCCCCGTCACCCAGACCAGCACACACACACAGGTGCGGACACGCACGCACGCTCTTCATCAAGCAGTGAAGTCGTGGGGGGGGGGGGGTAGGAGAAGGTGGTGGGGGGTGTCCGAACCCCCCCCCACCAACGCCCCCCCACCCTCTTCAAGACACCCTCGACCACAGCCCCCCACGAAGCAGGTAAAACGCGAGCACAGGTGTATTGAGACAGGTAAGAGAGTCTCGCTCGCCTTACACTCACTCACAGGTGGAAGGAGACGCGGGGTTTGTGTTTGCGTCGCTGGAATTTCAAATCCGTTCAGAATTTGTGGGGGGGGGGGGGGTGCTGGTTTGGGCAGTTGGATGAGAATGTACAGGGTGATCCATTTATAGATAACCCACTGCAATCGATCCACTGTTGGATGGAGGTCTCCCCGAGCCGTCGTTACCGGGCCATCGTCCCTTCTCGCGACGTGCCCTGCCCAAATCCATTTGTCTTCACGGTTTGAACTGTCGTACCACGAGGATTCGAGCTCAGCTGGTTCGGATGGTTAGTCGGGGTTTTTTTTTTTGGGGGGGGGGGAGGTTATTGGGGTTTGGAGATGGCATAGAGTTATACCGGCGAAGAAAAAAACAGGGTGATCCATTTACGGATACCCCACTTACATTAGTGAAACAAAGAGACAGCCTAACATTTAAATCCAAAGCCTGTACCTATCTACCGATGCTGTATACGCGTATTACGTCGTGTAACACTCTGTGCGATATGGGGACATCTCTTGACACAATGGCCACTCGCCTCTTGAATATGGTCTGAAATCGGTAAATGGATCGCCCCGTAGCCGGATCTATACCACGAACCCACACCCCCCCCCCATATCGTCATACGGATTTAAAGTCTAAAATATAATTTCGTTGAATATTCCCCTCGATTTAAATTCATCCGTGCGCCCGATTAATTATACGTTACCGACTGTCGCGACGTGCCTTTGTTGTTATTGACAACATTACTTTGCACAAAATGCAAAGCCGGTCTTACGAAACACACCGTAATATACAACACACACACAGGCAACGTGAATGCTGTAAAATCAGGATGTGGAGTAGTTGTTTTTTTATTGTAAATACTTATAAAAGAGTGTGCTTTGCATTGTTCACGGTGGTGGCGGTTGTTAAATGCGACATCAAGCATGGCGGCTGTTGCTGTAGTGCAGGGGTTTGACATGAGCCACGCCTGCTACTGTTCTCAACACTCAAGCCAATGCCCAGCCATATTACAACCTGATTACCTGGACGATTGCTATTCGTATAACGATTCGAATACCTTTGTGATTTATAGTTACCACCTTTGATTGTAAACGATACATGGACGAAGGTCGCGCGTGGAAGTGTTGTGCAAGTTCTGTGCTGTAATGCAAACGCATTAATCCTAGATGTTAAGGTACTTCGTCTTCCCAGTGAACATGGAAGGTTTGGTAAACCGTTAGTCCAACGGTAAACAGCCACGTTAACCCAACGTTGTCATGTTTACTGGATTATTGATTGGAGAGGACGTCATACAACATTCGTCATGGCTGATGGCAATGATGTAAAGAGCTAAAATTATAGTAAGCAGTTTGTAAACACATCACATCTGAAATGTGTATTCTCCATGGTAACACTATTGGGTTTCCAGTTAAAGTTATGTTTTCGAGAAAATAGTATCAATTCGAGTTAACAATATTTTTAAATCGAAAGGCCCGATTTATTTATTTACAGTCCTCATTTCAAATGTAAAGATGCATATATTATGTATATTAGGTATACCAGGAAGATCCTTTCTCCATCCCAAAGATTAACAGCTATGATGCAATCTGTAGAAATTGCCCCACTTATAAAGTACTTTACCCTGCCAGATACAGCTCATAGATCGGTGCTCATAGGTGCATATCCTTTAGCCGGTTGGAACATGGACACTCATCGAAATTGAGAGAAATAATCATTCTAACCGTTCGGGTAGCTACAGACTTAGTGCTGCTTGAAAGCGAATAATCAAATAATACATTGTTTAAATGCATGCCTATACAGGGATTACTGTTGGTATGGCTCTTTTAGTACACACAATCGACCATATAAATAACCCAACCGGCAATACATACCCATTGTCAATTATATGCATTAATTAACCCCCCCCCCCACATCACTCAAGAAGTGCTACCCATGTAAGGAACGAAACAGGAGAATTTATCCACAAATCTGTCGCCTGATGAACCTAGTTGTAATTACTGGCGAAACGTCGTACTCAGATGGTAAATGTTGTGGCTTGACTCTCCAACACACCGGTGTGCTGTATTAGTGACGAATTGGCATGTTCTGTTTACGTGACAAACCTTCCTAATTAGCTGTGTCGGGTGGTGACGGGTTTAACGACACATCTTCTATTTATGTGATCTAACCAAAAAAACCTGTATTATGAATGATATCGATCTCGAAAGCCTACGTGTTAAACATACTCATAGCTATTAACCCATACGGTTTATCTTTTATCCTTGTACAGGGAAATTTCGTTTTCAGGTCCATACGGCGTACAGCCAGCTCAATACGGGCATTTTTTTGTGTATTTGTTTGTGTTTCACCCATGTTATGGGACTTTGTAGGATGAACGTTGAGATTTATAAGGGCACGGGGTGACCAATAAGGTCTGAATTTGTATGTGATAAGGTAGGCACTCATATGGGGTTAAAAGGTATGTCACACTGACGTCAAACAGAGATTATTGAGTCCACGCCTTTATGGTAACGTGGTTACACTCCTATTATGGGACAATATGACAAAATCACCCGAAATGCAACACGTCTCTTCAGATCTTGGAAGCTAAGCGGGATGGAGCCTGGATAGTATTTTGTATGGGCAACCACCACCTTGCAAGGCAGGTTGCCATAGCGTAGTGGGGCTATGCGGTGTGCACGAGAGGATTGCAGCCAAATCTCTTTATTTTTTCATCCTTTGATACTGGAAAAAGGTCCCATATTTCAACTGCTCACCCCGAGCTATATATGCTCTGATAGTGCGTTGTCTTTGTACTGTTCGCCTTTTGGCGTTCTCTGGTCTAACACTGGTGAGACTAGGCCCTAAAGAAGGCTGTCTCTGGTGTAGGCCAATCAGTTTCAAAGACAATGCATATATTATCAGAGCATGTTTGTTTGCATGTTCACTACAAATAGTGTGGTTAATTCGAACTTGATTTCTTTGCAAAATGTTTATATTTGGTATTTGAACATCTTAACACCTGTTTTATTTCCAGAAAGGGTAAAACCTATTCATATTTTATCATAAATTTATTGTTATCATGTACTTCTATGCTCCTACATCTATACTCTTTGCCTTCACCAACACGGACTACTAAGTATGGCCAAATAATGTCCACGACCTGCAGTCATCCAGGCCCTCATCCAGCAGTGGATTGATAAAGGGCTATACATGTACGAGAGCTTGTTGAGATGTTTGTCCCATTGCATATATGTTGTTAATTTTGCCTGTGAGAATTATACCTTGCTTTCCCTGTTTTGTTTCCTTTTAGATTTAAAGAGGTGCCAGAAAGTGATGGTGATGACATCGATCCATGAGCTGTCTGAGCTGTCTGGAGCCTCGGAATAAATCGTCTGCTACGCCTCCAGAATTTGCAGCTCCAAACTCAACTCCAAGACCCAAGTCCTCGCCAATTCACGTGTGTGTGTCACATGTTGTTCAACTAACATTGTGATACCAACATTGAGCCAAATAACAATTGTCAGATCTTGGCAGATTTCGAAAGCTAAGCAGATTTGAGCCTGGATAATGCTTAGATGGGCGACCACATGCACAAAAAGGCTGCCATAAGTGGCTGCGTGGTTGTGCTACATGGTGGTCAGCAAAGAGCAGTGTAGCAAACAACATGATTGTACTGTGCTGCTGTTATCCCACGTTTATGTTCGGCGCCTTTAGCACGCAGCACTGACCAGTGTGGTGAAGTATGGTCAAGGCGTAGCCCTCATGACCCGCACAGTGAATTAAGCAAGGGGCCTCTCATGCACATGGGCTGTGCTGCACTGAAGTCCGTTAATACATAGTAAATGTGAAACTAGTGGGCAGTTTGTCCTATTGAATCCCACTGCCATATGTTTAAAGGGCCACAGTTTTTTCAAATTTATCCGCAGGTCGTTCTGAATCCGGCTGGACTTCCCAAACATGGCAATAGAGGGCGCTGACGAGCTATTGTTGGTGAATCCATTGACACTGGCTTAATTATTAACAGACGTTGCAGTTTTTATGTATAAAGTGGCAAAATGCAACTGCAGCTCAAGAGTTGGCGAGAGTGGGTTGGTTTGGGATTATTTAACTACATCTAAAATGGCGAGGGAAACACGAATAATTTACATTTATATGGAAGTTAGATGAGAAGTAAATAATGCGCATGAACATTTCAGTAAGTGACAAAGCGTTCTACTGATTGTGTGCTAATAGACGTGAAGTTGAATATTTGAGCTCCTCGGTGGTGATATTGTAACTACTTCGCCTGGTATACAGGAGGCCATGGGTTCAATCCCGACCCTGATGCCTGTATATTTGGAGTTTGCATGTTCTCCCCGTGGTCGTGTGCATTGTCCTCCGGGTCTGCCGGTTTTCCCCTCCACATTTAGAATCAACATACGTTTAGAATATTTGGCTGCTATAAATTTGGGCTATCACTTGTGGGCAGGTTGCTTCTGAAAAAGAGCTATATCGCTCAGTGCACCTTGTCTGGTAAAGTAAAACATCGTTGAGTTGTAATATTGCTACAGTAGAATGTAGACTGTAGAGACTAGACATTGAGTGCAAGTCACTCCATACTTGGGCTTTTCAAGCCTTCGGCGTTCCACGTTGCCTTAATTTGTACATAAACTGTGTGTGTGTGTCTAAGAGATTGAATGTGGATTTGTACACGTATACGTTTGGCATCGGTGTCTTTGGGTGGCACATTTGCAAAATGCATAACTGCACAGTGTGTCCTCAAAATTACGTGGTAAATCATGTCTCTGACATATAGCAGGGGTTTTTAGGGACAACTAACCATGTCAAAAGAAATATAAAATCGCGCTCACGAAGCTGAAATTGAAGAGTGTGCAGATCAATGTCAAGTCGTTTGCTGCATCTCCACGCTGCGCAGAGATGTCACGTGCCAGGCAGTCCCAATTTGGTTTTGTGCTTAACAGCAGCTACCTTGTCCAGTTCAGAATTGCCTTGTGATATTCAGTGTTGTTTTTTAATCTCTCTTTTTTATTGCTAACTATATTATTAAATAAAAGAGCAATACTGGATATGTGGCATTCCAAGCTCTAAATGGGCTAAATTGGTCTTCATGGAATTACCAGGGTTCTGTTAAGAAAATGTATATACTATGGCACTGCACCACTGCATTAACCTGTAATTTCAAGGACACGTTGTGTATGTGTTTAGGGGTGGGGGGGGGGGGAGTTACTGTATTTCTTTTTGAGTTACTGTATTTGTTTTTGGCATCTACATTAATATACAATTTTGGCGAATCGTTTAACACATTTATCAATATTAAGTGAACGTGTTTGTGCGTCCCAGTGTGGGAATTGTGTGTATTGATTTCATATACAGGCTGTCCGTAAAGTCCTATTACCCCAAGGTCACTTTCAGTTTCTGTTGTGTTTGCTTCTGCATGTTATGTTTGTTAAAGGCAAGGTAATGGCAGATATGTGCAGCATGTCACGCGGTAATGTTATAAAGAATTATCCTGTCATGAGAATGATGGTGACAAACTGACCTCTGGACAACAGATAAAGGTGAATTCTGTGATCGTGTGCATTTTGTCTCGGGTGGCTCATAATATATTTTCAACAATCATTGAATATGATCATACCGATATAAACGGTGTGGAGTGGTGCTGCTGTGGTTTCCACACTCGACGAGTTTTAACCTTTGACAAGGTTACCATAATTTGAGAGTGAAATCTGCACCAGTCCTGGCCACCCCTTTCACCATCCCCACACTGACCAGTGTGGTGAAGTATGGCCCAACAACCCCCAGTGACAATTACGATGTGAAGCGGCCTTTGTCTAACAGTGGATTTGTGACACCGTGGACATTGTGAGTCCAGTGTGTACGTTGGTTTGATTGGTTGAAATGAAACATGCTGCAAAATACCTTTGGCAGGTCACATTATCAGACACCTCAGTCACTATTAGTGTGAAGAAGCCCCTTCACCATCCTGGGCTCCATGTTCCCCCCCATGGCCGCGTGGATTTTTCTCCGCGTCCTCCGGTTGTTCCCTCATTTAGAATCAACGTGCATTCCGGGTATTTAGCTGCTATACATTTCCACATGATAAGCCACTTCGTTGAGCTATCATATATGGTCAGCTCGCTTCTGAAAAAGAACTACATAGCTCAATGGCCCTTACGTGGTAAAATAAAAAAACATGAGTTTGTTTCGTTTAGTTTGGGAAAGGGCTGGAAATATTTGCAATGTATGTTTATTCAATCAATATACTAATATGTTTTAGTGAAAAGTTCGTTACCATGTCGTTGATTGTGGAATGCAGGCTTTGTGATATATTTGTGTGAAGTGTACACATTTGATATACATTGCAAGTGCTGGGTATCGAAATGATTAATTTACCTAAGTGTGGTTTTCTCCAATGTTTTCGTTTGTGTTTTAGAGTGTATGTATTAACACGTTACTTTTGTAACCTATCCATGGAGAACTGTTATTGTATAACCATAGCCGTCATCCTAATGCGTGTTAGAATGTGTATTCCACAGTACTGTCGCGTGAAATAAAATATACAGCATTTGAAATGTATAAGAACCTGGCTTGAATTCTTGCTGTAATTAAACTCATCAACCCATTATCCCTAAGATTATAAGCTTTGAAACACAATTATCAGCTGGGATAAGAAACATTACATTGTAAACATCGAAATGCTTAAAGTCAGAAATTCTACTTGCAGTGGGGCTGGACGAGCATTTAGTTTGACCAATGCAGATTTAAACGTTTTTCAATAACAGTGCCACACTGCTGCGAACCTGGCAGACTGAGTTTATATCCCACCCAGGGAAAAATATCCTTTTAGTGATATCTGAAACGGTCTAGACCCCCCTCCCTACCCAATTCTACCCGAACCCTACCCCCTCTCATCCGGCAGTTAACAAAGGGAATTATCACTGGAAGGCATGAGACTTGAAAAAAAAACCCATTCCATTCTACTCAGGCTTACGACTGTGTTCAGCAGCTAAATATTGCTGAGGTCTCTAAGCCACGAGAGGGCTTCGGGAAAGAGTTTTGTGCAGTTTTGCTATTCTTTCATTGAAGGAGCGAAGACTACGGCGGTTTTACTATGTGGTTAATAGTTTGGGTTGCATGTATAAAGACAGTACGGGGCGATAGAGGGACAGTCTGGCTCCCTGGAACGATGGTTACTAATTGACGTGCTAATGATGATTGATGGGACAAGCGTTGACAGGGTCACGTGGGGGAAGCACGGGACCCAACGGGAGAAGTCTTGAGGCGAGAGTTACATTGTCTCAAAATAAAGTCGTCTAATTACCCAAGTGTATATAGTCACTCGCGGTCACGCGTTAAGTTGTCAGCGGACTTTATCCGTAATCAATATACATGAAGAAAGACGGTGTCTCTGAGAGCTACATTACACATGGACACAATTTTACATTAACAACTATATTGAGCCAAGAATGTCTGTGTGTCCTGCGTGTGACGTCACTCCACGTCGACCAGCCACCCTCATTAATAATCATGAACAGGTTACATCCTCCACATGGACCCCCCCCCCTCATTAATAATCATGAGCGGGTGACGTCACTCCGGAGAACCCCCCCTCATTAATAATAATTAGCAGGTGACGTCACTCCACATGGGGGGGGGGGCGAGGCGCCTCCTCCCCCCTCCTCGGCGTCAACTTACAACCCTCGCTACAAAGGCAGAACCCTTGCGTCACGTGACCTCCGTGACGCTGTTGAGACATCAAAGTAAAAAGGACGTCATGATGAACAAGGGATTATAACCTTAAAATGAAATAGTCTGCGTCACCGCGGCCTTACAAATTGCACACGAATGGATGCAATGAATATCACGTCGCGGTCCGCTTTTTGCTTACAAGTTTCAGATTTACTGCAATACGTGCCCAGCAGTGGAGAGCTCACAGCTGGCGTTTGTATACGCGTATACCAGAGATCCCCCCGTATAGCATGTAGTGAAACACAATCCTCATGAAGATATTGCCGCGTGTCTAAAGGAATTGAGAGGCTATATGATAAAAGAAATGCAGCACCACAACGGCGAATTGCAGGGATGAGACTCCCCGACTCGTGGTGCTGAATATGGACAGAGACCCTCCACAGCAGCTCGTGGGTGTGACGTGGAGTGTGATCGACGGACAGCCGAGAGGCTATCAGTTCGGGCAATGAATGGAGTTGAACAGAATAATAAGTAATATTTTAAAAACTTTTTTTTTAAACACGCTTTAATGAAATGTACCGTACGGGTAATGGAAGAACTCCACGACTCCATGAAGTGCCCCCGAAGCTTGCCACAACGTAAGGGGACCGTGGTCAATTACAGCCAACGTCAGTTGAGCGTGGACAATTAGATCCAAGCCGAAACATACAAAAATGTTATTTTTTATTTTTAATGATAGAATATAGTATTGTCATCAGTATGACATACGTATACCAAGTTTGCAGTCGATACAACATTGTGAAGTGGGTTAAAATTGAGTTACAATATTTTTTGAGGATACGGCAGTTGGAGTTCAGTTAAGCCTGTTGAGGAGAGGGAGTGGCTGAGTTGTGAGAGCTCTATTTTAATTTTGTTTTATTCCTTTTGGCGTCCTCTGGTCCACCACCGTTTGAGACTAGGCTCAAAAGAAAGCTGTCTCTGGTGTGGCCCAATCAGTTTCAAAGACAATGCATATATTATCAGAGTATGTTTTTTTTGTTTTCGTTCTGACCACAAGTATTGTGGTTAATACAGACATGATTCCTTGTAAAAGGTTTCAGTTTGGGGTTTTAGCATCTTATCACCTGTTTTGTTTCCAGAAAAAAAGGGAAAACCTATTCTCACGTTACCGATTGTTCCAATTGTGAAGCAGTACATTTTATGACATTGTGTTCCACCCATTTGGGTTCTAACATACACGATTATCAAGACTTCTCTTATGGTTTATATAGTCAAATTTAGGTGACGTTACATAGCCTTAAACAAACTGTTGGGGCAGGTGCTGTTCGAGAGGCCGGAACGGTGGACGAGGGGGTGGGTGGTCAGCACCACGACCGCCTTTGTCTCCCCAGTAGCGATGCTCACACTGCACCAGGTACTCATTTGAGCCTGAGTAGATCTAGGGGGGGGGGGGGCCAAAGCCAGTTCATAAAACCGTCACTGGTGTTAGCCGTGAGCTGGAATGAGAGTCTTGTTACTGGGATCGCGAGCGTGGTGCGCTAAGCGCTGTGCCACCGCTGCCCACGTGTACACCATAAACGGGAGAAGAGACAACACAGCTTGCTCTCGACACGGTGGAGTGGAACCGTCTCGTCTAGCCATCGTCCTGAGTGAAGATCCCTGGATTTGATCTTCCACGCAATTCATGGTTCAACCGAAACCACATGCGCACAATTCGTGACAGATGCGGATGCCAGATGGAAAATAAAGAACTCTCCAGTATCCCATCCACAAATACGAAGAAGACATAATCGCGATACACACCGTTGCTCCTGACGCGGTTATCTTGTTTGACCACCTGAATGCGAAATTGTAATTGTTGCTCTGCTATAATGATAAGCCACTTTATTGAGCTATCATTTGTGGTCAGATCGCTTCTGAAAAAAAGCCACACAGTAGCTCAGTGGGACTTACCTGGAAAAATGAAAAATAGTTTAGTTTTATTTGTATATTTTGTTTAAGTTATTTGTTTACCTTTCCTATACGTTGCACTCCAATCGTTGTTTTTGTACTGCTTGTTGTTGTAACGTTTTGACCCGCCCCTACTGGACATTTGTGGAAAAAAAAGCTTTTCAGCTCATCGGATTTCTCTCCGGTATAAATACTGATTCTGATGGATCAGTCGTACAAAGGAAGATGATCAATCAGCCTGAGCCCCATTTGATTGGCCACGTGCCACGGAATTTAGCTTTCTTTCCCGCACAATCACGTGACCGCCGACAAACACACGCGCGCCGATCACGTGGCCCTATTAAAGCCCCGGATCACGTGATCGCCCCCCCCCTCCTCCCGCTCTTCTCCCCCGGGCGCGCACTACTTATTTTACCTCGCGCGGTCACGTGATCGCGAACAGCTTTCCCCCAACCCCCCACGCTAATCCGCGATTGGCCCTCGCGGATCACGTGGTACGCGACCGTGCACTATTTTCTCTTTTTTTTGTGTGTGTCGCCGGCCATAAAGTATCCATGCGCCGACGTTTCGACTTAAGTGCGGACGGTGACGGCGTTGCGGCGTTGTCCGGCTCGATTTCCGCTTTCGGCTTCCCATAGGCAAGGGGGGAGAGGCCCAGTGGCAGGGAGAGGCTTTACGTTAAAGAGATACAATAAATAGATCACAGTGTGACAGATGCGCATATGTCGTAGAGGCGGTTACGTACGTGCGTTGAACTTCGTTCGCACACCCCACGTCGCACAGCCGATGCTAATAGGAGGTTATCGATGGCGCGATAGGTGGCACCGGCGTATTGCGGTGATGTGGTGAGAGACGCGTGTGCAAGAGATTCAATAACAATGCGTGGATAGAGTTGGACACAGGGCAGCCTCGTGTCGTTCCGGCGTGTGGGATGTCTATTGTGACATGTAGAGTCATGGGGACACTGGGTTAAGAGATTTGTTGCAGCTGCTATTGGGGACACTGGTGCAGACAGAGGATAGGGCTTGTGTAAAGTTATGTATGGATAGGGTTATGCACATAAGGGAAACGGGGTGCTGTGATATAGGGATTGCTGTAGAGATGCGGGCTTAAAATATTGTTATAGAATTATGTAGATGCGTTAGACATAGGGCTGGGGGTATATCTGTTACCGTAGGAAAGTTTGTAAGGAAATACATCACTGTCAGGCACCAATGTGTACAGTAAGAGATACTGCTAAAGATGTATTGCACCTATAAGAGACACTAGTGCTCGTGAATAGATACGGAGAGCTTGCATAGAGATACCATTTGGCGATAGATAGTTGAGAGGGTCGATAGTTTTGGTGGAGACCGGTACAGATATATTTGGTGTAGTTATTGAATTATTACAGACGAATATAGTTGTGGTTATGGTTATCGGGAGAGGGGCTGACGCATATTTCGAGATGCTGTACTCGTGAAGAAAAACTGGGGACACACCAATGTATACAATTCCTTTTATTACTGCACCGTTACAATCTGTGGTGGAGTCGCAGAGATATTTTATGGGCTGCAGTTAGCGAGACACTCCGAGCTACTTGCCAATTATAGGTTAGATGGTGTAATGTTAAGCAGACGTCCTGTCTTCGATTCGGCCTGTACACACACATAACGGCTCTTCCTCGATAGCACATCTTTCTCCTAAAGTCCTTTGTATAAAAAAAATATAAACACATTCAGGACGAGCCCTATCTCGCTTTCCCGAAGGCGCATACAGAGGGGGGTGGGGGGTGGTGAGAAGCTGTGCAGTAATTATCGAGTTGGGTGCAGTAATAATAGTGGCGATTCGTGTAGCCGGGCATTAGTTTTCAAGACCACCTTGTTCAGTGTGTCGAGTCGAGACCCGAGGGACGACCGCCTGGATTCCCTGCCGCCTTGTTGGATCGGTGAGAATTCTGGCGTGTGAGGAGATGTGTGGTCTGGCGTGCGTGCGTGTAGGTCGACTCGGCCTCAAATGAGTACCTGGTATGGGGTGGTGGGTAAACATCACCACTGGGAGGGGGAGAGACAAATGCCACCAGGCGTGATGTTGGCCATCCACCCACTCGTCTGCCGTGCCGGCATTCATAGGTGCTCGTTACACAGCACTTGCCCCCCTCCCTGTCAACGTCTACACGGGTTATCTTTGTCTTTGTGGGTTCTGGGGAGCAGTGGCGCAATAGTTAGGACACTGCGCGACCGACCCCGTCGACCCGAGTTCGATTCGCGCGCACAACCAGTAACCGTAACCGAATACGGATCTGACCCGGTTCTGGGTCATCCCTGGGTAGACTCACGATTTAATGAGTAACCTGGTGCGTCGCGTGTGTAAATATCAGTAATTGGGGAGACAAAGGCGGCCGGGCGTGGTGTTGACCACATGTCCATCGCTTCGCGTGTTGCCGGACGTCAGGCGCTCGCTAACAGCACTTGGGGGGGGGGGGGCGATCGATTTAGTAGCTACGCAGAAATCTGTCAAAACTAGACCCCCACCACCTGCGTAAGTACGCTTGACGCACCCCCCGAATCCTTTAGAATGTCGATATTTAATCCACGCAGAAACGATCAAGGATTAATCATATTAACGTGTTTAAGCAAACAGTCCACCGCCGGCTGCATTAAATAATTAAGTTGCGTAACTTGGCCACTTATTTTGCTGAGCTGCGTGATAGCTAACAGTCAGGGGTACGGTGACATATGAGTGACACCTCTCCCACAGTCCCACTTCTCCCGCTTGTACTTGTTGTCTGACAGCTGTAGACACTGAACTGTGGCTCATTTGAAGGCCAATGTAAACAAATTATTATCGAGGCTTCACCCCCCCCCCCCCCCCCGTTTCCTATGCGTACGAACATTGTCAGTAGACCCCCCCCCCCATACGCAAGCGTACGCATTTGGGTTAACCCCGCCTCCCCCCTCCAAGCGTACGTACTAAATGGATGGCCCCTTACCCCAATAGTCTGTTAAAGTCTATGGAGGAGGGAGATATTTGTCTTTTTTGTGTGGGTTTCTTGTTGTTGGATGTGTGGACCAGTGCGATCCATCGGTGTTATTTTTGTGAACAAAATTGGTGTTGAATGTATTGGACGACAAAGTGTTAATTTTATTTTAGTGAACCCTGATTAATGCTAGAGGGGGGCTATCGTCAACCGTGACGCATACTCTTTGGTTCTATTGGGTAAAGTCACGTAGGTGAAAATAAAATAACAAAAAAATTACGACGTTTCGGCCACAACACAAGCGGCCTTCATCAGGTGAAGGGACAAGACTGTCTGGAGGACAGCGCTGGAGTGGGGGAGAAGCCACGCTTAGATCACGACCTTTAAGCTGTGTGGGAAGACTCATTAGAGTGTTCCTCTCCACGGAAATCTTTAGTAAAAGGCGAAAGATTTATTCGCTGAAGAGAAACCAGAATAAAGTTTAGTTCCATCATTCGTAGGTACTTATCGGAGCACTCCTCCATTTATCCTATGGGACCTGTTCTTTGCGACTAATAGCAAAATTAAAACGTCCTTTGATACAACTTAAAATCAGTGATTATTTAATTTCCATTCATGTTTTTACACGAGGGTTATTAAAGGAAAGGTAATGTTATTCTGCACATAGTTTACTTCACATTGTGTTCATTGTACATAATTACAGTTTTGGACCAATGGCGGACCCGTAAACATGGCCCAATAACTTGGCCAGCATCCGTTAGCTTTTTAAAATACTGTATATTTTAATAAATACATTTTAATAAATATACTGTATTGTCATTTATTATAGGTATTATACATACCAACTGTCATCTATTATCTACATATGGTGCTGCATGTCCATAGGTACACATACACACGCTTGATGCAGACACACACAACTTTCAGGGTGCGTACAGCAGTAAATGACTTGAATAATATAGCAATACTGCGCAAAGAACGCCTTAGACCTGCAAGCAATTTGTATTTCACTTTACCCGTGGAGGGTTGGGGGTGTGACATTAGCAGACACACTCCGTTACTCTTCCGCATACGGGTCACATGACAGATGTGACGTCACAGCTCACTTGCCGTGCAAAATATATGCATTATTGCGCCCCACCCCCCAAAAAAATATAAAAACAAGTCAGTTTTTATAATTTTTGCATGGTGTACAGTCTGAAAAGTACCCACATGGCAAATTTAAAGTTTGTTGCATGTCGGGAAGTACAGTTCGCTAAACATTTTGAACAGACACACATTTTTCGTAACTCTGCTCTGGCAGGGTTTCCTTTAAAATAAAAAAAGATGGAGGTTGCTTGGTACGGGTGCTTCACGTCATGAAAAGAGACGGGGGGACACACTTTGTGTTCATGGTGACAAAGTTACACAGCTATTTATTATCTGACTAGCCTATAGCTCGTCCAAGGACGGGTGTATTGCAGTTAAGGGTCCATCCCCTTTCCCCTCCCTGGACGCACGCGTACTTTTTACCCCCACCTGCGTACGTACGCTTGACGCACCCCCCCCCGAATACCTACTATAATTACCCTTTAGTGTCTGTCCTTAACTCTTGTAATGTCACTCCACATCGACCAGCCCCCCTCATTACTTTTCACGAGCAGGTGACGTCCTCCAAATGGACACCCTCCCCCCATTCCTAATTATTAGCGGCTGAAGTCACAAATGGGGGGCCAAGGGGCCTCCTCCCCTATCCTAGGCGTCAACTTACACCCCTGACTACATAGGCAGAACCCTTATGTCACGCGATTTCCGTAACGCTATTGAGACATCAGAGTAAAAAGGACGTCATGATGAACAAGGGATTATAACCTTAAAATGAAATAGGTCTGTGTCACCGCTCCCTTACAAATTGCACACGCATTAATGCAATAAATATCACGTCGCGGTCTGCTTTTCGCTTGCAAGTTTCAGATTTATTGCAATACACCCGTCCTTGGACGGTCAAAAGGCTAGAGTTTAAATAAAACATGCAGCGCCATATGTAGATAATAGATGACAGTTGGTATGCATAATACATATAATACATGACAATACAGTATATTTCTTAAAATATGTTTGTTAAAATACAGTATTTTAAAAAGCTAACGGATGCTGGCCACGTTATTGGGCATGTTTTACGGGTCCGCCATTGGTCCAATACTGTAATTATGCCGCCATTGGTCCAATACTGTAATTATGTACAATGAACACAATGTGAAGTAAACTATGTGCAGAATAACATTACCTTTACTTTAATAACCCTCGTGTAAAAACATGAATGGAAATTAAATAATCACTGATTTTAAGTTGTATCAAAGGACGTTTTAATTTGACTAAAGTTGCGAAGAATAGGTCCCATAGGATAAATGTAGGAGTGTTCTGATACGTACCTACTAATGATGGAACTAAACTTTACTCTGGTTTCTCTTCAGAGCGAATAAATCTTTCGCCTTTTACTAAAGATTTCCGTGGAGAGGAACACTCTAATGAGTCTTAAACTATTTTTCGTAACCCTGCTCTGGCAGGGTTTCCTTGAAAGTAACAAAAAGATTGAGGTTGCTGGGTACGGGTGCTTCACGTCATGAAAAGAGAGGGGGGGACACACTTTGTGTTCATTGCGACAAAGTTGCGCAGCTATTTATTATCTGACTAGCCTATAGCCCGTCCAAGGATGGGTGTATTGCAGTTTAGGGTCCATCCCCTTTCCCCCTCCCTGTATGCACGCGTACTTTTACCCCACCCCCCCACCTGCGTACGTACGCTTGATGCACCCCCACCCCCCGAATACCTACTATAATCACCCATTAATGTCTGTCCTTAACTCTCGTAACATCACTCCACATCGAGCAGCCCCCCCTCATTAATATTCAAGAGCAGGTGACGTCCTCCAAATCGACACCCCCTCCCTCCATTCCTAATTATTAGCGGCTGAAGTCACTGCACATGGGGGGCCAATGGGCCTCCTCCCCTATCCTAGGCGTCAACTTACATCCCTCACTACATAGGCAGAACTCATGTCACGAGATTTCCGTAACGCTATTGAGACATCAGAGTAAAAAGGACGTCATGATGAACAAGGGATTATAACCTTAACATGAAATAGGTCTGTGTCACCGCGCATTAAAAAAAATTGCACACGCATTAATGCAATAAATATCACGTCGCGGTCTGCTTTTCGCTTGCAAGTTTCAGATTTATTGCAATTCACCCGTCCTTGGACGGGCAAAAGGCTAGTGTTTAAATAAAACATGCAGCGCCATATGTAGATAATAGATGAGAGTTGGTATGCATAATACATATAATACATGACAATACAGTATATTTCTTAAAATATGTTTGTTAAAATACAGTATTTAACAAAGCTAACGGATGCTGGCCAAGTTATTGGGCATGTTTTACGGGTCCGCCATTGGTCCAATACTGTAATTATGTACAATGAACACAATGTGAAGTAAACTATGTGCAGAATAACATTACCTTTCCTTTAATAACCCTCGTGTAAAAACATGAATGGAAATTAAATAATCACTGATTTTAAGTTGTATCAAAGGACGTTTTAATTTTTCTAAAGTTGCGAAGAACAGGTCCCATAGGATAAATGTAGGAGTGTTCCGATAAGTACCTACTAATGATGGATCTAAACTTTACTCTGGTTTCTCTTCAGAGCGAATAAATCTTTCGCCTTTTACTAAAGATTTCCTTGGAGAGGAACACTCTAATGAGTCTTAAACTATTTTTCGTAACCCTGTTCTGGCATTGTTTCCTTGAAAGTAACAAAAAGATTGAGGTTGCTGGGTACGGGTGCTTCACGTCATGAAAAGAGAGGGGGGGGACACACTTAGTGTTCATTGCGACAAAGTTACGCAGCAATTTATTATCTGACTAGCCTATAGCCCGTCCAAGGACGGGTGTATTTCAGTTTAGGGTCCATCCCCTTTCCCCCTCCCTGTATGCACGCGTACTTTTACCCCACCCCCCCACCTGCGTACGTACGCTTGATGCACCCCCCCCCCCCCGAATACCTACTATAATCACCCATTAATGTCTGTCCTTAACTCTCGTAACATCACTCCACATCGAGCAGCCCCCCTCATTAATATTCAAGAGCAGGTGACGTCCTCCAAATCGACACCCCCTCCCCCCATTCCTAATTATTAGCGGCTGAAGTAACTACACAGCGGGGGCCAAGGGGCCTCCTCCCCTATCCTAGGCGTCAACTTACACCCCTCACTACATAGGCAGAACCCTTATGTCACGCGATTTCCGTAACGCTATTGAGACATCAGAGTAAAAAGGACGTCATGATGAACAAGGGATTATAACCTTAAAATGAAATAGGTCTATGTCACCGCTCCCTTACAAATTGCACACGCATTAATGCAATAAATATCACGTCGCGGTCTGCTTTTCGCTTGCAAGTTTCAGATTTATTGCAATACACCCGTCCTTGGACGGGCAAAAGGCTAGTGTTTAAATAAAACATGCAGCGCCATATGTAGATAATAGATGACAGTTGGTATGCATAATACATATAATACATGACAATACAGTATATTTCTTAAAATATGTTTGTTAAAATACAGTATTTTAAAAAGCTAACGGATGCTGGCCAAGTTATTGGCCATGTTTACGGGTTCGCCATTGGTCCATTACTGTAATTATGTACACTGATCACAATGTGAAGTAAACTATGCGCAGAATAACATTACCTTTCCTTTAATAACCCTCGTGTAAAAACATGAATGGAAATTAAATAATCACTGATTTTAAGTTGTATCAAAGGACGTTTTAATTTGACTAAAGTTGCGAAGAATAGGTCCCATAGGATAAATGTAGGAGTGTTCCGATGAGTACCTACTAATGATGGAACTAAACTTTACTCTGGTTTCTCTTCAGAGCGAATAAATCTTTCGCCTTTTACTAAAGATTTCCGTGGAGAGGAACACTCTAATGAGTCTTAAACTATTTTTCGTAACCCTGCTCTGGCAGGGTTTCCTTGAAAGTAACAAAAAGATTGAGGTTGCTGGGTACGGGTGCTTCACGTCATGAAAAGAGAGGGGGGGGGACACACTTTGTGTTCATTGTGACAAAGTTGCGCAGCTATTTATTATCTGACTAGCCTATAGCCCGTCCAAGGACGGGTGTATTGCAGTTTAGGGTCCATCCCCTTTCCCCCTCCCTGTATGCACGCATACTTTTACCCCCCCTCCCCGAATACCTACTATAATCACCCATTAATGTCTGTCCTTAACTCTCGTAACATCACTCCACATTGACCAGCCCCCCTAATTAATATTCAAGAGCAGGTGACGTCCTTCAAATCGACACCCCCTCCCCCCATTCCTAATTATTAGCGGCTGAAGTAACTACACAGCGGGGGCCAAGGGGCCTCCTCCCCTATCCGAGGCGTCAACTTACACCCCTCACTACATAGGCAGAACCCCAATGTCACAAGAT